GAAACATGTAATAAAATCTAAGAATCTGAATTACACGCGCTACTTATAATCTTGTATTATCATGAAACTTGGCAATTATATGTAAATTAGATGACAATACAATATTATGGTACCATCGAGGTAATAGAAATTAATAGTAAAAAAATAACCAAATCCACGCTAAATAAAACAAGTTTCAACGGGATTATCATCATCATCATATCAGCCGTACGACGCCCACTGCTGGACATAGGCCTCCCCCAAGGATCTCCACAACGATCGGTCCTGCGCTGTCCGCATCCAGCGCTTTCCCGCGACCTTCACCAGATCGTCGGTCCACCTTGTAGCGGGTCTTCCCACTGAGCGTCGTCCGGCACGCGGTCGCCATTCGAGAACCTTTCCGCCCCAACGGCCATCGGTTCTCCTCGCTATGTGTCCCGGCCACTACCACTTCAGCTGGGCTATTCTTCGAGCTATGTCGGTGACTTTAGTTCTCCTACGGATCTCGTCATTTCTGACTAGATCACGCAGGGAAACACCAAGCATAGCTCTCTCCATTGGCCGCTGGGCGAACTTGAGCCGTCCTATGAGACCCATAGTAAACGACTACGCCTTCAACGGGTTAGATGCACTGATTTTATATATTTATTGACGTTTCGCATCCTTTGCAGGAATGCGTCGTCGGAATAATGTTTTTTTTTATTTACTTTGTCCCTTGAGGTGATTACGTTATGATTCCGATTAGTGCGCGTTGCAGTAGCGAGTCGAAACGGTGAGCATCCTTTTCCAAGTTAATATGTCTCTTAAGACCATAATAAATCATTGGTCCACCTGTACATATTCCCAACATAAATGAGTCCAGACAAATGAATTTGTGTCCTGTGACAAGACACAAACACATTATTTTTATATGACATTTTTTGCCATAGCCAAGCACCACCTATCGAGCGGCTTACATATCATGAGTTGAGCATGCAATATAAATATTTTACGACGCGGAGCAACATTATTAACGTCTTCCTATTAATCATTTTATTCGTTTCATTCGGCGACAAGCCAATTACTTCTAAGACGACATTACCGGCTAAGTGATTAAGAACTCTTGATTGATAACAAGTAAGGACTTAATGTAACACGGTCTACTTACTAGCAATATAAAATTACTTATATCAAAGAGAGGTAGATCATGGTGTACTTATTTTCCGCTTGAGACGCGTTCCTCACCGGATCAGCGTTACGTTACTACGTTTATACGTTTTCGTTTCTGTACCGAATCTGCACCGGTTTTTTTTTTATTTTACATTAAATAGGCCTACGTTTGACGGCCAGGCGCCTGATGTAGAGCGACGTAGCAGCCTAAGGTGGGACGCGCTTGCCTAGAAGAAACCGATTCACTCGCGATTTGAAGAGCCCCAGATTATAGGTGACTGGTGATTCTTTACCGAGAACCACTTCTTGACCAGTACCCTTAGCACGAACAATTATCGAATTCGAATAGTCTGCGAGTGCGAAATGTCAATGTCAAATGTATGGAAACTTGAACAGCAGCGCCTCAAAGTACGCAACGAGAACTAAAAATCAGTACACATTTGACAATGACATTTCGCACTCGCAAACTATTCGAAGTCGATATTGGTTCGTGCTAAGGGTACAGCTCGAATACGGTGCTGTATCACTTCGTTTTGTTTGCTTCGGTTTTGTTTACCGGAGTGATGGTACGGGCGAGTTAGTGTCGCCACACACGGGCCACCGACCACAACCACAAAACGCCGCCACCGGCATATTTCTTGTAGTTTTCATACATTTTATATGGACTCGCCACACACGGTATGCCGATGGCCGCCACACGCTACAAATTGTCGCTGCTCGCTTCTTGTGGCCCGCACCGGCCACTTAATGCGCCGATACAAATCGTCGCCACACGTCACTCGCGCGATTCCCCACCCCTCTCTCCCTTACCTTAGTCGGCCGCTTCAACCATTTTAGTAGCCGCTTCTAGCTTCTCGTGGCGGCGTTTGTGGCTGTAGCGTGAGGCCCGTCTGCGGCGACACTAATAGTTCGATCACACTCGGTACAGTCAGGTGTGTATTACCATAGCACTCGGTAAAAAATCTGTACAGATTGGGTACAAAAACGAACGAGAACGAAACGAACCGGTGAGCGGTGAGGCAGGCGCCTGAATTAGAATAATTTTGAAAGTAGCCTTCACCTTACAAAAGCAACAGAGACACGACACTATCTTTTAGCGGTGTTGTATTTCTGTCAGCGGGAGAACAATACAAGAGCTCCACGGGGTTAGGGGATGGGGTCAGTGTAGGCAAAAGCTTTTCGGACTGTTGTCTCCCTTAGGTTGCGGAGACATCAAAACTTACTTTTAAAATTATAATTTTAAGTACCCGTATAAAACTAAAAACTAGTTGTAAATCTTTTGATTACTTGCAATTTAGCCATTTTCTCACCTTAAAAGATCACCCCCTCACCCTTTTTAATCTCAAATCAGCCATAATTTTGTTTTCCCTTTTACTAATGTGTTACTTTTGGTAAAGGTTTCAGCCTGATTTAAATATTTTTCATTTTTTACGATTTTCCAAGGCATCTGCCCTGGCCTACTTGGACACAATCGATTCCAAATGTGGCATCGTTGAGGTGTGGTTACGCGAATCATTTTTAACTCACAAGCTGCACATTTGGTACTCTGCCAAATCTAGCAAGCATATATGGCGTAAAGACATGTAAGTATGTACGGTGCAAAGAGGATATTTTATTTATAATTTCTATTATTTTAAATCATGTAACTGCTTGATGTTTAAATCTAAAGAAAATATAACTAGAAAAAATTCCACGCGGACCAGGCAGCAGACGGGACTCGAACCCGCACCCTTCGCAATCCGGGCGAATGCACTGACCAATTATGCTACCGCGGCCCTCACGGACCGCGTCGAAATTCCTCTAGCCATTCTTAAGCTGCAAGGCAGCGCCATCTCTTCGCATTGTAGGTAACCCACAATGTCAAATGAATACTTTTACAAGTATTAAACACTTGAAAGCAGAAATAGCAATTATAGTTATAATTTCTATTATTTTAAAGCATGTAACTGCTTGATGTTTAAATCTAAAGAAAATATAACTAGAAAAAAATTCTAGGATATTATTTATACTTAACAACATACCTAAATTATGCACCTAACATTTTTAAAAATAAAACAATGCCATAATTAGATAAGTGACCTTTTTACTAAGTGTTTTTGATGGAATAAGAAACCGATTATGGTGAAAATTAAGAATTATTATTATTATGAATGCACATTTATGAGTACATATCATCATCATCAGCCTATTAATGTCCTCACTGCTGGGGCACAGGCCTTCCCTATGGATGGAATAGGGAGATTGGGCCTTGACTTACCACGCGGGCCCAGTACAGATTGGCGGGGTGCTCACGACAGCAGATGCAGCGAGGAACTCGAGATAGAAGATTTTTGGACACCCATCCAATGACCGACGATGGGAAAGTTGCTTAACTTCAACGATCGAAGCCGAACGCGCTAACCACCATACTCAAGTTTATTTGTGTTTTGTAATAAAATACAAATTATTTTATGTCTTTTAACCTTCTACCACCAACCCTATTTCTAGGGCGATACTAAGTTCGCTGGGTCACCTAGTAACAAATTTATATATAAAATTTAAGTTACTGCAGTTGTAACAAAACATAATTATTCTGTGTAGGCGAATGACCAACCTCTTTTCTGAGGTTTTAGTTTTTAATTATCTTTTTTGTAAGTCTTTAAAATGATTTGATTTTCTGTGCGTTCGATTTTCAAATGGAGATGCGACCATGCTACGATTCCCGCTGCTGCAGAATTTTTATTTATTTTTTGTTTTTCATTTAAATAACTAGCAGTTGTTTTATATTTGTTTTTATTAAAGTCAGTGCTTTGAGAAGGTTTTCACTGCATACACCTTATAAGTACTTTAATAAAGTGATTAATTATTTACCATCGGAATAAAATAATTCTGCCAGACAAAAATATTTTTCTTTCAAAACAAATTATAATTAATGTGACTGAATTCATCATACCGAGCCCTGTTTTCAATTTGATGAATCTGTTTGAAATAGAACAAGGGGAAAACAAAAGCGGATGATATCACAAGATTCCCGACAGTTCCTTCACAAGGTAATTTTTATGAACTCAATGCGTAATTTTAACGAGTCGGTGATTTTATTCATGGCAATATCTACGAAATACCTACTTATTATTATGAATTCTTGATCGATGGACAAATATTAAAATTTATAGGTACCTATCTAAAGATAATATTACTTGATATAAATCCACTCGATTTGGGCATCAGACAGAACACCTGAAACTTTTGTCAAGTAAAATTTAAAAGTAATTAATCTGGCTTTACAAAAAAAACCCGCAGTACTTTTTTTTAGGTAAAATTTTCGTTAGATTTATAAATCCAGCAGTTTTATGCAAGGTGTGACTGAATGAATAGATTTCAATAAAAGTTGTTTTTATTTATGGCCCGCCTGATGGAAAGCGGTCACCATAGACACACACATACACACACTTACACAATATGATCGTAGGAGTACCACCTACTTTTGTTGGATTTCTTTTGCATTTCTCGCTTTCATCTAAGGAGAAGTGGGTGTGGCTGAAAACCAGCGCTGCCCGAGACATTCTGTAACGAAGCAGTTTATGCTGAGCCACATCCATTTGCTCTTCACGCTGTCATATCGCATTATACTATGTATTGAACTATGTATTACTGTGAGAGCAATAAAAATATTTCTATTCTATTCTATTCCTTAGCCTTCAGATGCTTACAATATAAAAAAATATCTGCCTACCCGGATTTAATCCCTTACCCCGTGGAACCTGGTAAACCTGGAACCTTACTCACGGACAGAAACGCAACACCCTTAAATGGTAGTATTGATTTCACTGTGCGCTCCAATTTAAGTGGAAAGTCCGCTATCCCAGCTCTTAAAATGACAGAATAATACAAAACGATGGCAACTCAAGTTTATTTTCAAAATCAAAGGTCTGTGTACGTCGAAACATCCAAAAAAGAGAATGGGCAGGAATTGAATGATCTTGCACATTCTTCTTTGGTGAGATCCTTGTGCCACTTGTCTGTATCTGAGGACTGTCGCCTGTAAGAAAAAAGAGATATAAGAACTCTTAGTGTCTCCGCACACGGGCCACCGACCACAACCACAAAACGCCGCCACCGGCATATTTCTTGTAGTTTTCATACATTTCATATGGACTCGCCACACACGGTACGCTGGTGGCCGTCGCACGCTACAAATCGTCGTTGCTCGCTTCTTGTGGCCCGCACCGGCCATTTAATGCGCCCATACAAAACGCCGCCACACGTCACTCGCGCGATTCCCCACCCCTCTCTCCCTCACCTTAGTCGGCCGCTGTCGCGCGCTTCAGCCACTTTAGTAGCTGCTTCTAGCTTCTCGTGGCCGCGTTTGTGGCTGTGGCGTGTGGCCCGTGTGCGGCGACACTTAGCTCTGGCCACATCCCGACCAAATAAGAAAAATGACAATATTTCATTTTGATATTATTTAAAATTATATTTACGAGAAGAAATTCTGACACACTGATGGACTCGAAATAACGTCTTTCAGATGCAGGGGAATGTACTTATTGCCATGCTTTAGGTAGCGGCAAACTTCTTGAGCAAAACTACAGGCAAATATTTTACATGCGCAGTAGAAGTTTTTGTATTTAAAATTGCTACTGCGCAAGCTCCCTTGTTTTTGGTCAATGCTCAGGATGTTTGCTGGAGTGTATACTGAGATCTTAATATAGACGTGCTGATTTTTTTCTAGTATTTTTAAGGCTGGGAGACAGTTATTGATATGATCTATTCACAATGTGGAAAACGACGATTAAACTCTAACAGCTGCAACCGGATGCAGCCACGTCTTAATCCAATTTTTAGTTACCGTTTTAAGCATTCCATTGTAACATAACATTTTTATGGGATAATAAGTTTTTATATTAGTAAGCAAACTTTTTACTCTTGTAATTTTGATATGTACAGATTTTTATTTACTAATAAAACGTCGACCGTCTGCTGTGACATATTTTACCCGCTCCCAACAGCAAAAGAACCAAAATGATTACCTGAATATCATTTTCAAAATTTTGCAATATAGCCCGCTCGCTTCAGACAACGCTGCCATTTCGCAAATCGCCCGCCGCACGCAGTGGTAGCCATTCAGTCCATTTCTGAAAGCAATCAAGTGTTTCACCACCGGATTCCGTGAATTGAAACGAAAATATTTAAACGTACCAAAATTGGGGCACGTTTTTGAGACCATTTAAATTGAATTATCATGTCCTCTTTACGTGACATTTGGTATAAAAGCTTCATTCGACTGTTATGACGAATGAATGGCGCTTTGACACAATTAAAAAACGCGAAAAAAAAACGTAGAACTGCTGTATCAGCCATCTTCGCGTCTGGACTTCACCTTCACTTAACATGAGGCGAGGGTGGAGTCATTTCTCGGACCTAACTATGAAAGAAAACTTTATTTTGTATTTCACATTCTGTAAATAGGCCCCTTAGAAATACAGGCCCAGGCAACGGTAGTTAAAACTACAAAGAAAAGTAAAAGAAGGAACTCACTTGTCTATTAATAGTTCCAAGTTGCTGTATACAGTTCGCCTGTAAAGCCTGTGTCTATGGAAAGTCTGGAACGTTTCCGGTGGATCATCCCAATTCATTCGGAACCCAAGAGCTTGGGCGAATATTTGGTTCCACGGTACCATGTTAGCTTTAAAGTTTAGTCTCCACTGGAAAAAAAGGTTCGTAAATTACTCCAAGGTGTCGCCCAAAGGTTCAAATCCCAGTGTTGCAAAATTTTTGTGTGATGACTACACACATTTGTAAGTCATAGATGTAAATTAATTTCTATATAAATATACTTATATCATCAATCATCATCATCATCAACAGCCTATCTTATTCCACTGCTGGACATAGGCCTCTCCAAATGCACCCCACGGTCAATTCATTTGAGTGTTAGAAATATTTAAACCCTATACAGCATTTAACTATACTGTTCCTTAGTCGGTCGCAAAAGCGCAAAACTACGATTTCCTAAAACCAAGGGACATTGAAGCACTCCCTTAATAACATAAATTACTAGCGCAATGAAGTAACTGAAATCTTGTAAAAGCAAATGCGATACTAAAGACAAATCTCAAAATAAAACTAAGTCTAGGAAAATGCTTTTCATTGACGCAGTATTTTTTGGTTATTTTACAAACTGCACAAGGTAATGGATGATGTTACGGATTCCAAATACAACAATATTACATTATAAGCAATTCCAATAAAAACTGTACTCACAAAAACCTTCGATGTGTTCCTCAAAACTAGATATCTTCTCTGTCTTTTGTGTCCGATAGTTTTGTTCGCACTTCCCATATCGATTAATAGGAAATAAATGAAACCTATATAACATAAGAACACCATTAAATGTAACCTTTGCATGTTTTCCGGTATTCACAAACACTGCTCCTTAATTTCGTTATATTTATTATTTTTCAAGCTTAAACCAAGATCTCGTACTGGCTGTGACTGTTTGCCCATTATTATCATAGCTTGTTCTGTAAAAAAGACGTAATGTATTAATATAAATTCCGCCTTATTAATACCAAACATTTATTTTTAAGCTTAACCAAATTTTGCAGAACTAAGAAAATTTTATAACGACCCGTAAATGTAACAAATTGGTTTTTTGCTCATCCCTTTTCGTTTCGTTTAAGCAATCTCTTACTAGGAATTGGGCCTTGAATACAACCTGAATCATAAATTGAACCCAACCATATTTTAAGATATAATTTAATGATAAATCATAAGAGGTTTCTTTATATGGAATTTATTTTTCTTTTTTTTGTGAAGAATTAAACTTATACTTTAGTAATGAAAATTTGTTGTTTAATAATAAGTTGATCAAACTTTGGTAAAAATGCAGCGTTGCTATTATAATTAAAAAATAACTAGTAATATCACAATTTATATTATCAAATTCAATTGCAATAAAACGAAGAAACATCGTTTTCATTAATATTTTGCTGTCATTTTTATATTTCTTTTAATAAGTACGAAATTGGTACCTTACTAATCAATGTAGGGTATTAATTTAATTTGCATTTATATGACTGTCTTACCTTATGTCATAATAATTTTACTATAAGATTAGTTAAAAGTAACAATTAAAGTTTTCTACAGATTTCTCAGCAATTTTGCGGTGTCTACTGATATGTATTGTAAAAGCACTCAATGACAAATGAAGTCAAAACTGTTATTGCCAAGAATTTAGGTTTTGTTTGGTCACTTGATTATGAGACAAGAGATACTGACCTGGTCTACTTTATATTTCGAGGTTCAATGTTGTACGGTAAATTTTGAACAGTACAAGACAACAAACAATACAAGAGGAGCTTAGTCGGTTAATCGTACAATACTTTTTCTAGATTATTTATTAGTTAATATTTTCAATTTATCGTCTTATTACGTGACAACTCAGCGCAAACAATGCAGACCGCGATATCATTACATAATGCTCTGAAACTAAGCTCTTAAAGTACTAATATATTATTTCTTTGTAGTTTCTAATAGCTACTAGAGGAGCTCAACGGCGCAAGTGGTTAGGGCGTTCCGCTGCGATCGTTGAATTTAAGCAACTTTCGCAGTGGTCGGTCATTGGATGGGTGACCAAAAATTTACTATCTCGAGCTCCTCCATGCTTCGGGAGGCACGTTAAGCCGTTGGTCCCGGCTGCATCTGCAGTCGTTAGCACCCACCAACCCGCAGTGGGCCCGTGTGGTGGGTCATGGCCCAATCTCTCTATTCCATCCATAGGGAAGGCCTGTGCCCCAGCAGTGGGGACATTAATAGGCTGATGATGATGATGAGCTTCTAATTAACTAAACTCTCTGCATTCTAGATTTCGTCATTACTAGATTTTTTCAAGGTAAGAAAAATAGCGAGCAGTAGTAAGAAAAACCCTAAAAAACACAAACAGTGTAATTGACTTTAATTTAATAAATCAGTGACTGAGGAAAGAGAAATTTAATCTTCTACGACTTTTCGATGAACATATTCATCAGATCAGAAAATGGTCCCAGTTTTATATACCTAAATAAGAGACAATGTCTTATTGAGTCGAGTTAATTGGTTTCCTAATATAAGATGTCTGAGAGCTTTCTGTTTTATAAACGTTGAAATCCGTGCTCGCAAATAAAATAAATCTGTCAACTTAAACGGGCGAGACGAGCTTACTGATAACAAGGACGAATGGCCGGGACAAGGGCAGGTTAATACAAAGCAAAAAAGTTTTATTTAAACAAAGGCAAGATTGCTCCTTACTATATTAAAAGCCTGTTATTGAATCTACTTAATATCACTGACTTATGAAGTAGCTTGTTTCAAATCATTCGTTTGTTTCATAAGAACCTACATCGGCGTTTTCAGAAATTGTACCAATACAAGTACAAATACAACTAATACCAATATTTCACATTAATAACTAGTTTTGATTTTGAGTTAGACCCCGTAACAAAAATGGTCTAATAATTAAAACATCGACGACATCGCATTTCTTTGTTTTAGAAAAAAATACGTGTGGCACTCGGGGACTGCCGCGGTTATAGTATTTTTTTATCAACTTATGCAATTTTAATTATTTATTTATGCAGTTTTTTTTTTTGATATTAATAGATGACGAGGTAGGCCTTATGATATTTTAATGGGCAAGCACAGCAAACAACAGCATTGCCCGGCGCCAAAAAACTTCCACAAGCTCCATAGTTTAAACTCTTTTGACCAAAAATTATAAAGTCTAAATAAAAGGTAGACAAATAAAAATAAGAACAGGTGCTGAGGTCTAAAACAAATATATAAAGAAAAGGAAAAAAATAATAAAAAAAAAATACGAGTGCGGAATTTAAACCGACGACCGCGGTGATGTGTCGAACGTTGGTCCCGTGGCAAAAATTTAACACACTGCGTCGTTTAGATCGATACTGGAAAGGCGAAAATTGGTATCATATGCACTCTTGTCAGGTTATTTTCGTTACGGAATTTCTTGATTCGGTCGCCGTGCTCAAAGCCCGCGTTAAAATCTATGCAATAGCTTAAAAATAAAAAAAATATCTTTATAACATACTCAAAGAGCTCTAGACTTTCTAGAGTAAAAAAAAGACTCCTTTTCATGTATGAAAAAATCTTTAATTGAATTATTTAACAAACTATTCCGCTTGCGTGGGTTTCACAAAGAAAATGTTCTGTCCCTTTTTCGGTTAAAGTGATATAAAGATAATTGAGTTTCATTCATTAAGATCATTATCACCCAGTAAAAGGCCAAAAAAGCAAACTTCTTGCCCGAAACAAATTATGTATATTCAAATAAATTTATTTATGAGGCGGCGCGCTTGCTTTAGCAGTTCTTGATCGTAACTGCCCCGGGTTCGAATACCGGCAAAGGTAACTGCTTGTCTAATGACCGCTTGCATTTTCCTGCTTACATGTCGTGGATCTCTATAATATGTGTATAAGTATTTTTATACATTACCTAGTACCCTTAATAAGAGTAAAAATCCTCGTAGACAACTGGCCCCGGGATCGGCAGTTGCGATGGAGGCCGAAAGTATGTAGTCTTAAGTAAGGGCAAGATGATTTTCTGAAAGTGTTCATCAAATTATTAATAGACCAAATGTAAAGAAAATTTTATTAAAATAATATCCACATGGTCCAGTCATCAGACAAGATTAAAACCTTCACCTTCCGCCGTCCAGGCTATTAATACTGTTTATTTTATCGATAAAATACTACGCCCTCACTCTCTGCCAGCGAGTTTGACCTGGGGAGTCAGGCAAGATATAGTGGCCAGTAACGAATGTTTTTCTGTGATTTCTGACGCTCCCCAAAGCTCGTTTTTTATGATACAATTAAGGTGGAAAAAGCAACTCAACGTGCAATTTCAAAAAGAAAATCAATAGATTCATGTAGGAAAACAGCAGGAAAATTCCAGAAACACAGAAGATCTCCTGTAAAATCGGGAGACCTGGTAACCTGGTTTGCGGACAATCACCAGCGTATGTGGGCAATCCTAACGGGGTACCAGAACTACGCACGCACTCTCGACACGCATTCGGGGGGTCTTGGTCCTCAGAGTGTGTGCCGGGTGGCCGATGCAGGAGTATTGTCTGGTATTTACTGGGTAGGGCCTTATTATTTCATCGAAACCATGAGTTGGATGAAATGACAAGGAGAAGCCCACAGAACCTTGTTCACATTTCTCCCGGGTTGGCAAAAGTTGCGGTCACGCATTTTCCACACATAAAAAGTAGCCAAAACTTACCACCCTGTAAGTTCTGTAAGAATCACTTTGACAACAGTGATAATTAATTATTGTGACTGCGTCAATGTTCTACTGTTAGGTACCATACAAGGCATAGCGTGGCACAACTTTTTACTATTTGAATATGAGTGTCTTAATTCTAAAGAGGATAAGTTTCAAAATAGAAGGTTGTATTCTTAAATTGATTCGTCACAAGTACACGAAATAACAGCGTGATTCAGTAATCTAAAGTGCAGTCATGACTCCAGAGGAAAATTTCTTAACACAACAAAGCTACCCCAACATTTGGTGTTTGGCGATTCACTCAGCTTTTCAACGCAGTAACGGTTCATGGTCGGTGTTTGAGCATCGTGATTAACAGTTTCACTGGCATTGAGAAGATTAACTCGCCGCCATATGTCGTCTTAAAACATCACACGTTCTGGCACAAGAACATAAAATGACATTTCCTTAGGATTACAAAAATGAAGAATATGTATACTGTAATCGTAGTTTTGATTCTGATAGCCCTGGCTCAGTTGGGAGCTCAAGATGTTTATCCATACGGTGGGAGTAGTGTGTTACTATCTAGAAGAAAAAGGTTTCTAGTGTTCCCTGAAGGTAGTTCTTTGCAGCTTGGTGAGTTCCAAGTGTTTATATACGTACCTTAAGGTCATTTATATTCCTACATAAATACAAAAATATATTACATTACTTTCATCAATTATATAATTTCTCTTTCAATTGCTGTTTTATACTCTAGCGAAATCTGAAATCTAAAGTGTTTTTGAACATATAGGCCGCGTCAGAAAACCACAGCTTAAATGTAAATTTGAGTTGTTTTTCTGGCTTCTTTCATCTTTAAACGAATCCTATTCCTTTATGTATGTAGGCACTTGAAGATAAAGCGATGTTTAGTGGAAAATAGTCTTATTTTCTCATTTGCAGCGCGGATTATCGAAACTCATTTGTTCATCATTAATTTGTTTCTTGTTTATTTTAATAGAATTGAAGTGATTTGCTTTCACCGTGTTTCACCTTCGTGATTTATCCTTTTATTTCAAATCAAAATTGAAGCATTACCTAATCGGATTTAACATAAAACTGATGTTCCTACTTATTTCTAATGAGTTTTTGTATTAAGTAAACCATTATGCCGTCATTTTTAGGTAATTGAAATAAAAATACATTTCCAGCATGTATTTGATTTTTATGTTGAGATTATGGTACACTACTGAGAGCAAGAAAAATATCTGCAGTTGTTCTATAAATTCTGTTCTTGTACAAATTTAATGGAAAGATACAGTGTTAATGTAAAAATTAGCTAGGTATTATAGGGATGATGACTAATTTTTTTTTCTTCGTTTATCAGGTAGATTATCAAAAAGTATCGGCCACGTATTTTTTCTCTTTTTCACATAATATAAATATTGCAGAGATATATCGATTTGAAAAGTCGTATGACGTCACGTTTTGGTTCAATTTTCACTTAAAAGTGACGTCACGAGCCCCTACTCCCAAACTTTGACGCGCTATAACTTTGTCATTCTTTGGTTGATTGCCCAAAGCAAAAATTCGTGTCCATTATTTTTTGATCATCTAACTGACGGACTTAATAGATTTTCTCATTTACTGTATCCCGTCATCACCCTATTAGAGAATGTAGCATTATTGTAGTTTAATAGACTAATACTTACTACTTTATTCAAGAACATAATTAATTATAAATGTCTAACTATATAATAATATAGTAAAATCAATCACTTATTCACACAATTCGTTGTTTACTGAGAAATAACTGTTTTAGGTAATTCAAATCATTTATTATTCGGACAACATAGATCTATGTGTTAGTACACAATATTTAATACTATGTTACGGTTAAAGACATTTATTTTCTCAAAAGAATTTACAAAAATCCACTTACAGAGAAAATACAAAGCATAATTAACAAAAAAAATCATTACATCGTGTCGACTAACAATTCAAAAATGTAGGTAGATTAACAAACAGAAACAACAATCTGAGTCTCTGCGCATGCGAACAGCGGAGACACATAAAGGCAATGACACAGTGCGGGATGTAGCGGTGCGACTAATCTTACATAGAAATGCATGAGAAAAAAAAATAAGTATCATTTTATCTTACACAGATCAAACATATATATATATATTAACATATCTATGCATATATGTTTTGGAAATTCTAGGTTAAGTTCGTCTTAGTAATATAGGAAACTTATGTTATTACTAAATGTTTTTTTTATTACTTTCAAAGTGATATTATTATTGACATAAATAGGTTTTTTTTTTTACATAAAAAGATCGATTATTGATTAAATACATTAATTACATACTATTCACTTATGCATCCACTGTACTGGCCGATAATATTATTCGCTATAACAATAGATTAGTGTAACTAGAATTATTGGTAAATGATAGAACAATAGTTTTACATAAGTTTATACAATGACATACTTCACACAATAGTTAAATTTATAGCCGAGAGTTCCGCAAAATGTGGTCTTTCAATAACCCTTTAAATATGTTAAGTGACTTACTGTCTTTAATATTCTTTGGCAATTCGTTGTAGCATAGAACTCCTTCGTGAATAATTGTTTTTTTACCATAGTTAGTACGGGGTAAATTTAGACAGATATTATCAGCCTGTCTTGTTAATCGTTTATTGTGGTAGGAATTTGTAGTAAATGTGATTTGACTTTGTGTATCTTTCGTCATTATTTTTCTAATATGAATGCAAGTATTATATTTATATATCTGAGAAATGTTCATCAATTTAGTTTCTTTGTAGATTGTTTCAGTAGGTGTGAGATAGTCATACATAAAGAGAATTTTAATTAGTTTATTTTGTTTTATTTGTAATCTTTTCAGATGTGATCTTGCTGCAGATCCCCAAACTTCTATTAAATATTCTAAATTAGCTTTCACTAAGGAGTTATAGATGAGGTATTTAACTTTTTTAGGAAGGCAACCAGCCAAGCCCCTGAGGGCCCCAGCCAAGGATGTTAGCTTAATACAAATCGAGTCTATATGTGATTTCTAAGTAAATTGATTATCGAGAATAAGGCCAAGATATTTCTCTGAATTAACTTTTTGAATGATATTGTTATTGATTTTCAGTTGGGAGTGGTTAGTTATCTTTTTATTCTTAGGAGCGAAAATCATATATTTAGTTTTTGGTACATTTATAGTTAATAAATTTGACTGTAACCATGTATGCAGGATATTCAAATCATTTTGTGCCTGATTTATTAATGTTTCAACGGAATGACCAGAGTAAAAAAGACTAGTATCATCCGCATATAAAAAGATATCACCTTGAAGACCTATTTGCTTTATATTATTAATATAGATGAGAAATAATAAGGGACCTAAAATAGATCCCTGTGGTACACCACAAGTAATAGTTTTGGCGTGACTCTGCTCATTCCCAATCTTAACAATTTGACGTCTATCTTCAAGGTAAGACTTCAAGGTTTTAAGAGCCAAATCTTCGATGCCGATGTCTTCTAATTTTGATAATAGTATTTTATGGCTAACCGTATCAAATGCTTTTTGCAAGTCAATAAATACACCCAAAGTAATCATTTTTTTGTCAATATCCTGTTTTATTTTTGTGACCAGATCAACAGTTGCTGAGACGGTGTTTGATTTTGGCCTAAAACCATATTGTTTTTGAAAGAAGAAATTTATCGACACAAGATATTTAAGTAGACGTTCATGTACTATCTTTTCAAAAACTTTTGAAAGTACAGGTAACACCGATATAGGCCTGTAATTGTTGGGGTCTGCTTTATTTCCTGCTTTATATATGGGGCTAACTTTGGCGATTTTTAACGAATCAGGGAAGTAACCGTCATCTAAACATTTATTAATACATTGTGTCAAGCTATTTGCAATTATGTTTTTGACGCTTTTTATAGCTTTGGTACTTATACCATCAACACCTGAGCTTGTGTTTGAGTCTAAATTATTAATAATTTTTAAAACCTCTGTTGTCGAAGTTGCTTCAAACCGAGTTAAAGTATTTGTATTATCTTTTGTTTTATTAAATGTTAGTGTATAAGTCAAGTTATTTTGAAACTGCTGTGGTATTTTATTTGCTAAATTTAAGCCTATTGTAGAGAAAAAGGAGTTAAGATGTTCACATATTTTATTTTTACCTGTAACCACATCCGATGTCGATGACATTTGAATTTTTTTGGGACCTTGGATGCTTGTATCTTTATTTTTGTGCAAATTATTAATAAGATTCCACAATTTTTTAGGATCCTTCTGACAATCTGTAAAAGCCTTATAATAATATTTGTTCTTCGTAGATTGTATGCGCGTACTGACAAATTGTCGTTGTTTTGTAAATTTCTTGCGTAAATTTTGGTCATCGGGCATTTGTTTTAATTTGTGCCATAGGTCATTTCTTTCATTTATGGATGCAATTATATCTTTATTTATCCATTCTTTTTTTGGAGGATTTTGTATTTTGTATTTTGTTTCTTTATTTTTATCAATAGCAGCCAATATTATCTTTTCCAATGTATCATAGTCATAATCTTCACATGACTTAATAGTATCTTCAACTGTTTTATAGAAATTAGAGTAGTTTATTTTTTCATATTGTATTCTTTTTAAAGGTTCTTGTTTTTGTCTATGTATTTCTAAATAAATTTGCTTGTGATCTGATAGTGAAGACTCGATTACAGCCATGTGATATGAGTTATCTTTAAGGTTTGTAACAACGTGATCTATTATTGTCTGAGAAGTCGTTGTTACACGTGTACAGTATTCTAAACTAATCTTGTTTAAAAAAATTAAATTATTTTCCGTAAGTATTTCCTTGTAATCTTTAACACTGTTTTCATTGCTAAGTAGGTTCAGGTTAATATCTCCGAAAGCAACTACTCGTTTTCTATTTTGAATTTGTAAATTATATATTTCAAGAAACTTATTGGTGTTTGCAGCTGGTTGTCGATAGATAGCTCCGATATTTAGTGACAGCGTCTTCACATGTACCCATAAAAAATGATTACCATCTTCTAAGTGTTCTTCTAGAAGTTCATGATTCAAATTGTTATGGACGTAAATGGACACACCGCCACCTCTAGAATTAGTTCTATAATTGTAGTAATGGGTATAATTAGGCAAATTTAATCTATTTGCTTCGTATTCATTTTTTATCCAGGTTTCTGTTAGGATAATAACATGTATTATTGTTTCAAACGATTCTATAATACACCGAAGTTCATCCAGTTTACCTGACTTGACGATACTTCGAACATTTCCGTATAAGAATCTAAATGCTTTTTTCTGTAATGTAATATTAGTATATTTGTTGCTGATTTCGTACGTAATAAGGTTTTGCTTGTCGGTTGCATTTTCTCTCGATCCTAGTTTTTTGGCACTTGTTTTATAATTTTAGGAGCTCCCTTTACATATTTAATAATTATATTTTCTTCTCCTTTTTCTATACGCGATTGTAATTCTTCTCGTAGATTCAGTAGAGCTTTTTGTTGCTTAGAGGTTTGATCAGAGTAGATTTTAATTTGTTTATTATTCAGTGTTGTTTTGTTTTTTAATATACATTTAGATATTTCTTCTGATGAGAACTGTACTTTTAGCATTCGTGACTTTCCTTTTTCATATTTACCCAGTCGTATTACTTTTTCTGGCTTAGGACATTGTGGATATATTTCTAAGATGACTTTATTTACCTCAGATCGATCGTATTCTCTTCTTTCTACTGAATTTTCGAAATATTGCTCCGGGATTCCTTTTATTAAAATATTCTTGCTACGTATTTTGCGCTCTTGAATCTCAGTAATAAGTTCTTCATATACATAATCAGTTGCAAAATCCATTGGAGAATTTGCAGATTTACTATTTTTAAGAATATGTATTTCTTCGTTAATTTTTGTTATTTGTTCCTGTACAAGACCAACTGTATCAGTAAAGTGTGCAATTTGAGCCTTCAAAATGCTATTTTCTTTTACCAAATGTTCAGTAGTGGTTTTAATTTCAGACAGTTGTTCCTTTATTAATGATATATCATGTTTAATTAATCCAATGCCCACATCTTGCGACTTTCCGAATTCTTTTAATAATCCTATAATATCATCTTTAAAATCCTTAAATTGCTGACCCAAATCATCATCAGGCACTTTTCTTTTCCTCATAGATGTATTTCTAGATTCTGGATCCAGCACCTCAAATTTTGATAAATCGGGTTGGGAACTGCTGTGCCCACTTGCAATATTCATATTGATCTTATTTGGTGAGCGTAAGATATTCATACTCACTACGTAATTGGTTGCTATGTATTTATCGTCTCGCTTCGTAAGTGTAGACGCAGCTCAATGAGGGCGAACTATGACCAGTGTGGATGTGCACCGTCCGAGTGTGTCCGAGCGGTCCCGACGTATGATGTTGTGTTGCACTTCTCACTTTAAACCACCAGTGTTGATCTCGTGTAAGATTTGTGAAAATTACACTGTGTTGTTAAGGTATTACAGTTTGAAATTACTTGTATTGATATTTATTTTTCTTGTAAAAAACTAAATGCACGTATGCTCACTTTGCCAGTCGAACGACGAATTATGTTAGTAAATTATATTAAAAACCGAATTATATTAGTATTTTATCATTTTCTGATTGTGGCTTAGTGATTTTTTTTGTGTCTGTAGCTGTTTCCGTTTTTGATGTACGTTTGTTGGCATTCACGTATGCAGTTTTCATTTACCTCCACGAAACAACAGTTTCAATTCACGAAGCAATGAAAAGAGAAAAAAAAACAGAACTTTTTTTACTTTAGCGTTTGATAACTTTACCTTTGTTCTGAGGAAAATATTTGAATTTATTTCAGTAATGTAAGGCAACAGTTGGTTTTAATTTAAATAGTTGGACTTTGATACAAAGCTTATGAGACTAGGCTCGCAAAATAATAAAATAAAACTAGCAAAGTTACAATATAGTTATTACGCTTGAGCACGGACAGATATCAAATTCATTCCTTTTAGCTCTTTTTCATAGCAATTTTACTATTCCGACTCTTTTCTGTTATATGTGTTTTTTTATATTAAAGTGCAGTCAATGAAGAAATGTTTTAAATACTTAAACCTAAGGAACTTTTTTTCGCAAAGGCTACAAATATTTTTGCTCAGTTTCGTATTTCTATAAACAATACACCATTGTATAGTATTACTGATCGAATATTGCGCCTTACTATTTATGTAAATACCTAGCAGCTATGTTTCAAATATTATGACAAAAAATACAACGACATGAAGTCCAATCACAACATTTCAGTCGATTGTTGTAGTTAAAACTACAATTACAAAATTGGACTAAATTAATTACTTATAGATTCAGAACACGGAATTAATAATTATTAATTCATTCATGATTAATATAGTAATTTTACTGACGTTTTTAAGAAAAGAATATTTTAATTACATTTGCATTAAAAAAAGGCGATGTCATTATTTGGCTTCACTAAAGCGAGCAATCGCTGGCTTGAAGTAAATAAGAATATCATCATCATCAACCTATTAATGTCCCGCCTGCTGGGGCACAGGTTCTCCCTTTGGATGGCTTAGGGAGATTGGGCCGTGGCCCACCACGCGGGTCCAGTTCGGAATGGTGGGTTCTAACGCCTGCAGATGCAGCTGGGACCAACGGCTTAGCGTTTCTTCTGAAACCTGGAGGAGCTTGAGATATTAAGTTTTTGGTCACCCATCCAATGACCGACCATTGCTTAAGTCGCTTTACTTCCACGATCGCAGACCGATTGCGCTAACCACCAGCGAAATCGAGCTTCTCACATAATAAGAATGTAGCTAATGCGCATACTTCTTTTATAGTGGAAAAAAGTCATCATATAGCGTTATTCAAACTTTGTGGCGGCTTGCGGTTGTGCAACAATGCTGCAACAACGGAAACATCCGTTGAATAACATTCTGCATCACCTTTTTATACGAGGCGCAACAAATTACCCCACTCCATCTGATGTAAAGTGTAAGTGGAGACCAGTCGCGTGTTATATGTGTGCACATTTATAAAACCCATAATAATTAGTATACCTTATATCTTAAATTATAATTGTGTAGTCCTAGCCTTAACTATAATTTTAATACGAGCATAAAACTTTTTTCACATCACCCTACATTTCTTCTACTGTGCCGAGACTTGCGCATCCTTCACGGCCGCCATTAAGCTTGAGTCGCACCATACTTCATGATATAGCAGCACATTTGTTTCCAGTATTCTGCCTTACGTTCCCGAATATACCGTTGGGCAACATTATTCTATGGGGCTATACGTCCGCTCTGGCGTACGAGCTTCCTCAAGATCCGTACTCTCCTTTCGACCACCACGCGGATCCACTTCATCGGAGGTCTGACAGCAAAGCCATTTACTTCACCAATGATGACGGGAAGGTGATTTACAAAAGACCTTATGAAAGGTAAGCTTAAAGTTTAGATTGAATTACAATAGGGATGATGGCTAAATTTTTTTCTTCGTTTATCAGGTAGATTATCAAAAAGTATTGGACACGTATTTTTTCTTTTTTCACATAATATAAACATTGCAGAGATATATTGATTCGAAAAGTCGCATGACGTCACGTTTTGGTACAATTTTCACTTAAAAGTGACGTCACGAGCCCCTTCTCCCAAACTTTGACGCGCTTTATCTTTGTCATTTTTTGGTTGATTGCCCACAGAAAAAATACGTGTCCATTATTTTTTGATCATCTAACTGACGGACTCAATAAAATTTTGTTTACTTCACCCCCTTATCATGCCTATTAATTACGATTCTTCAATTAGTATTACAGATTCGATGTAAAGGCATGAAATCATCAAAACAGTGTTGCGTTGATTCATAATGACTAAAACAGCGTACGTTTTCTGAGGCCTGTCAAACATCGTTGTATGAACACGTTGGCTCGCCCCAATGTTTCCATTTACCAAGCGAGCAAATGTTTGCTCATTTAGAACTGTTCTGAGCTTAACCGGAAACCCAGCATAAGAAGATCATTATATGAAAGATCATTACATTCTATATGAGATAACTTAATCTAATTTTACACTTGTAAAATATCGTCTTTAGGATTTCAAATGCCATTTCATAGAATAAAAACTAACCTTCTAATAGCTTTTTATTTAATGAGACGACGAAGGTTTGTTAGTGAAGGAATCAAACTAGCCGGTTGTTAATCGCAGAAAGTTTATCGTGAATCCGGCTTTTGCGAAACGGAGTACGGACGAGCTTTCATCGCCCCATTTGAAAAAAGGAACGCGAGATACATTGAAAATAGACAGGAAGCAGATGCACGCCTCGAAAAACAAGCGGGAGTTTTTGAAAAGCGAAAACATGGAGAGGCGCAGCATCGAATTTCACAGGAGCAGCCGCGGCTCCCTTTACCAGAAAATTGAGACAATGCTCAGCGGGTACGTTATAGCGTTTCAATTGTTGCCTTTAGTACCTACCTATCTGTTTGTGTGCATTTATTATTTATTTTAAAAGAATTAGTCTAGCTATTCAAAGGGGGAACGCTACCAGTATCTTTGGAACCTTGCCTAAAGGGACTCCTTTTAATAATGTATTTTAGTTATTATATATTTTAAGGTTTTTAGTTTTAGTTATTACATTATATTTTTTGAGGTTCTTAGTTTAAGCTTTATTGTTCCTGTATATATTATTATTGTCTTACTAGAGATGTAGATTTCGTTTAAAAACCAATAACACAACGGGTCTTGTTGTTAATTAACAAATTTATTTTAATAATAATAAGAAGATATATAAGCTTGAATAGTGTGTGCCCGCGACTTCGTCTGCGTGGTAATATTGGTTTCCGATACATACTTTGAAACCCCGTTTTACCCTTGTAGGGGGGGGGGGGGGGAGTTGAAAATCAATTCTTTGCGCACGCTCACATCATAAAAGCTATAAGTGTGCCAAATTTCAGCGCAATCCGTTCAGTGGTTTGAGCTGTGCGTAGTCTGCGTGGATAGAACAGTCAGTCAGTAACGTATGTCTTTTATTGCATTCATTGCTGTGAGCCCAAAGTATTGTTTAATACTTGCGTTATGGAGATCAGAAACAACACCATAACTATTCAGATAGGAAAGACTACGTTCCTAAATAGAGATATTTGACTAAACCCAGGGAAAGAATACTGAGACTCGGTACCTCAGTGATATCACTGCAATTATCACTCAATTGTTCTAGATAATCAAAACGAGGCTCGAAATTTTGTAATAATGAAAAATGACACTTATCAACATGTCATATTAAATTATCTGTCTGGTTTTTATTCAATATGAAACTTATGAGGAGCTCGATGGCGCAAGTGGTGAGCGCGTTCCGCTGCGATCGTTGAATTTAAGCAACTTTCGCAGTGGTCGGTCATTGGATGGGTGACCGAAAATTTACTATCTCGAGCTCCTCCGTGCTTCGGAAGGCACGTTAAGCCGTTGGTCCCGGCTGCATCTGCAGTCGTTAGCACCCACCAACCCGCACTGGGCCCGCGTAGTGGCTCATGGCCCAATCTCCCTATTCCGTCCATAGGGAAGGCCTGTGCCCCAGCAGCGGGGACATTAATAGGCTGATGATGATGGTGATGAAATTTATGAGGATAAAGATGCATTTTGACTACGAAAAAAGACCTCTCAAGTGCCGTTGAATGTTAGACTGCCCAAAAAGCCTCTCAAAAGGCCTCTGAGGCGCGCGCGACGCACATGGGCCGAATTACACGCAAGTGGTTTTTAAGTACCGACTTTTAATATAATATATACTAATTTTTAATGTAACATCCTGCTTTAGTCTCGGCGGGGATGGTAGACAGTGCTTGCTAAAGACGCTGTGCCTCGTAGGGCGCACTCGAGACGAACCCCAGGGAACCTTTCTACAGGAGATACTGAGAGCCGTATTCACGTAAGCTGATATTCCTTTTATCGTTCAAAAGGTACTTCGTGGCGAATTTTGTATGACGTCATATTGGAGGATAGTCTAAATTTTTGTGACGTTTACATTGTCATTTTTCTTAAAGTATAAAGTGTTAATCTAATGTACAGTCTACAATGTTTCAATAAAAATTAAATCTTCGCCAATGTGTAAGACTTCCTAGTCCCATTTTTTGCGATTACTTCCTTGTAGTTAATAAATAATAAATGCGGGTCTCGTAAGAAGGCTCACGGTCACACAGCGAGCAATGGAGACAGTGATGCTCGGTATTTCCCTTCGCGATAGAATCAGAAATGAGGAAATCCCTAAGAGAACCAAAGTAACCGATATCGCTTGAAGAATCGAAGAATTGCTCTGCTGAAGTGGCAGTGTGCGGGACACGTAGCAAGAAGAACCGATGGCCGTTGGGGTGGAAAGGTTCTGGAATGGCGGCCATGCACCGGAAGACGCTTAGTGAGCAGGCCCGAGATGGATGCGAGTGGCGCAAAACTGATTGGTGTGGAGATCCTTGGGGGAAGCCTATGCTCAGCAGTGGGCGTCGTACGACTGACATCATGATGATGGGTTAATAAATAAAAAAGAAAATTTGTAGGTATACGTTCGCTTAACTTGTCAGCATTATATCTCTTCACTTATTGTAATGATATGATTCGTGGTTGGCCGAAATAAATGAATTGGAATTGAATTGCTTTGATGTCTTATATTTACTCAAACGTGCATTACAAGGAAATTTACTACTATTTTTTCATTAGAACGTTACATCACATGGACATCCTCGAAGAAATGATTTGTTTCATTCCAACCATTAGTGTAACCAATAGTGACAAGCTGCTAGTATAAAAACAAACACCTAGATTTTGGAACGAACACGAAGAACGTCATGATTTTCCATCACGTCTGTTAGCTGTTTATTGTCTGAAGTTGTGTGTCATACTTATGTTAAGCGGTGGGTCGTTCTCAAATTTTCTGACGATGAAACGCAACCGTTTTCACTTAAACGAAAACTAGTCCTCGAAACAGTTCTCGTTCGCAACTGGTTTTGGTTGCGGCTGGGTGACGCAACGAAACGACACGCAACGGTCGAACGAATGTAACGCAACGAAACTGAACTAAATGAAATCATGTTAACGTTCGTTTCGTTGCTGCGAACGAGACGACGAAACATCGAAATAAATGTAGTGTTATACGATAATCTTAATTTATTATAGAACAAAACGGCCTCATATCATTGCTTTCTATTATAGACTGTATTTACTACATCATAAAGTACATATTGGCGTGCAGACAATCCGAGGACTAGTTGTTCGACGAAGACTTTTTTGAACCCGAAACGTAAAACGGTTCTATCGTCGCGGAACACAAAACGGTCCTTGAAACCGGTTCGTCTTTAGAACGCTCACACCTACTTATGTTTATTTTTAACTTCGTCCCAACCGAGTGCTCCACGACACTCACATTTGCTTTTTTAATCAATTTTGCTTTGATTTTCCTTTCAGGTTTCCAAAAGGCGAAACCGATGATGACTTTTCTGAAGCGTACGATCGATCTGCTGATCTGACGACATCCTGCGAGGAAGCATACCCCGATTGTAGCACGAATGAATCGGAGCCTATTTAGATAAAGGAAGATTTAAATCCTTTTAGTGCTTCAGGCAAAGATAGTGTTTCATTTTCACTACCACACTTAGAGCAGAACAGTCATGACATCATGTTACGTAACGTCGCCACTTGATAAAATAATATTCATCATTATAAAATAATCAAAATGGAATGTCAAATGGCTGATGTGATTGGTAAAGTTAAAAGCGACATTGCAATATCTTTTCTCAATAAAATCTAAGAAGAAAAAATAAAAGGAACTTATAATTTCAATATAGCAGAGCAACTGGTTGACTGTGAAAGCGAACATTGATAATTAAGTCTGAACTAATTAAGGCTGTCTTATTGTATAATAAATAAGTGTATTTACTTTTTTGCAATAGCTAAAGAACATGGTAACTGAGTACGGCTGTTGCTGAAACGTATTGGACAGTTAGCAACATATAAAGCTACCACAAAAACAACTCAAAGAAAGAGGAAGAAATGAGCTTGACTTTAGGCTATTTGTACCAAAAAAAAACCACTCACACAATTTTCGTTATTTGGGAAAATCAAACGGATTATTAGTTAAAACCTCAGAGTACCCCTACTGGAGACTGCATTACTCACCTTTTTTTAAATAGAAATCGGCAAAGTTTGTTGCCTTTAGCATGCGGGAAGGGTTAACCGCGTTTTAACCGCGACTTGACACATCAGTGTAATGAGACGGTCGGATGATAATTTTGGTGAAAAGATGTATGGTGACTTTGGAGCGTGTCCTATGGGCAGTTCACATTCCAGTAGCAATCCAGCCCAGCGATTGAATCCAGCGCTCGAATGCTACTGGAATAATGTGAACCGGCACTTGAATTTTCCCATTCCAGTGAGTAATCCAGTCCAGTGACTGATGGTCTTCCTATTATTCCAGCTAACCGATCCCAGCGCCACTAGAATAGTGTGGACATTTTCGAACTGCTTTTATGTAACCATAGGCTTACCAGTTCAACCGTTTGTAAAAGACTGGAATATGTAAAGGTACTGGATTGTATTGATTCGGTGGATTACTGGATTGGAATAATGTGATCGCTGATATTATGCAGTATTGCTGCATAAGCGTGCATTTGCATGCTGTCTATATTAGTGCTGCTCTGTTGTAAAAGCTTAACTTTTTTAAGACCTTTAAATGGTTTGAATTCATTAAATTAATATACACTTATCACTGAAATCATCGATAAATTATGTCAATGAATTTTTAACTGATTTGAGCAACCACCTCACCTGCAATAAATTATGACAATAGTACTTACAATGGGTGATAGCAAGGTGCTAATATTAGCGAACAATTCATCAAAAACAAAAAAAAAAGTTGCCAAAATAAAAGAAAAAAATAAATAACAAAATACTTGAATAATATCCGAGATAAAGAGAAGTACCGAAAACTTAACTATAAGTTAAGAAACTTTATATAAGTTAGAAAAGACATGTTAAAAAACTTAAGTATAAATACTTATTGACTTGTTTTTTTGAGTAAGATAAGATTGCAATAAATAAAAATATAAGTTGTAAGTTACCATAACCTCTAAGTGCAATAGATACAATATAAGAATGTTTAATTTTAGCCTTCTTAATATTACCTCATCTATGATGCATTATGAATCAATTTGTTGTGTAAAATCAAACGTTATAAATTTATTTTCATTTGCATGTGACTATTGTGAAAATTTTGATCTAGATTCTGTATGATATATCAAAAACGTATCGTTTTTCCATTTCTGATTTAAGTGAAACTTCTATTTTGAATTACTACAAATATATTGAAAAATATTTAGTCATTTGTAATGTAACGACTGTAACTACTTCTTTTCCGATATTTCGGGACTGCCACAAGTACTTAAATGGCGAAAACACAAGGTAATCTTAGTGACCATGAAAGTTTAAAAGAAAATGTATTACTTCTTTTATTTATAGACCACTAAGTGAATACGATTTTTTAAATAATAATAATGATAGAAAAACACGTTCTTTTTCATTTACTTCCTCGGAAAATTTGAAAATTATCGGCTCTTCCAAAAACCCTTTTAGAAGATAATTTTCATTTTTTTTCTTTTAAGCCGTATACGCATTTTAACTTTTGAACACGTATATAGCTGTAAATTGGTTGACACGTTCTGTGTTAATTGCTGTTTCATTTCTAAATATTTGTGTCCCAGTAATGGGGTGTCGCACTGGACAGTACGTTTTGTGGTATCAGGCACGTGAGTTTGTGTTAGATTTTTCATTAGAAACTATAAAACCGTTGTGAAGAGTGTTAAATAGTGATATAAAACCTTTTCAATCGCAAAATTTAAACATCATGATTATAAAAAAGAAACATATTCCGTTATGGATATTTTTAGTTCAAATATTCGTAAATGGAATAGCATATACGAATTTTACTCACTCAAATTATTTAGAACAAAACAGCGGAGACAATGCGCTGTTGTCAAGGAGAAAACGGTATTTGTTATTTCCAGACGGAAGCTCATTTCAATTAGGTAGGTAAATAATTGTGTTACACTTTGAAGCCGTTAAACAAAGGCCTCTTTTGGAAATTATCACAATTTTAGGCCAGTTTACTGACAACGCCCGCAGCAATGCTCGACTCATTTGACCAAGGTATTACAGTAAAGGGTCCGCCTTCCTAATCTGTGCGGCATACAAAATTGGAGAGTAATAAACAAACATTAAAATCATAATTACGGTAACAATAAACCGATGAAGTGACTCGTTCTAATGTCTCTGGTTACTTAATTGGCTCATGGAATAACATGAACGCTAAACAAAATACTCTGGATTGGGTTTTACTAACTTTGGTCACTTTGTTTTTTTATACCGAACTGGCATTCACATTATTATTGTATTGCTTCTTTTTCTTAAATTTATGAATCTCTTTTTAAGTAATATAGATAAGTCAATTGGAGACATTTGAATTTAGTTGTATAACATGACATGTTTGGCTGTTTGGATTGTTTGTTGCAACTGAATTTCGTTCACTTGGTTTAAGTACTTGGTAACAGCCCATTTTATTATTACGCACCTCAACGCCCAACACAAATAAGGCATGTATATTAACAACAACGTGCTAAGTGCGAGTTTCGAACTCATTCGCGTTTACGTAGTCGTCATTTTGTCGTTATGACGTTATCGTTAAAATCTGAAGTTTTTGACAACTCGCAGGCCGGAAACGTGAGGATGGATGTTGTGTTGAAACAAATCTAGACAATACATCAATCCAAAGACCATCACTTTAAGTGGAGAAGTGTCGAATCTTCACAAAAATAGATACTTCATAAATTTGAAAATCTCACAACAATATTTGGTCCCAAATTAAGAGGAAGTTAACATAAAAAATATATAACAAACATGATTCAGGATAAAATATATGGGCTCATTCACGCAAATAAATACCATCGCAGCAGAAGACAGACGGTTACTGCTGCAATGGCATTCATAAGAGCAATTCAAAAGACAGATTTACATTGATATAGTAGCTGATACCAATCTTGCTGACATATCAGCGCTGTTGAGAATACTTCGTGAACGGTCAGTACTAATGATACTCATACAAAGATACCTGAAATATTTATCAGGTTTGGAAGGCATACTCTTTTCCTGTATCTATAAATATACATTAGGAGATAAATAAAAAAAACATTGGTGAAACACTTCCTTTTTGAAATCGAAATCGAATCGTGTTTATCGAAACATTTCAATGAAATAAGCGTAGGTATAGAAAAACATATGCTATGTCAATTGTATTGTTTTAGAGTGTAATTAACATATCTTCTATCATACTTGTATATCTAATTAATGACAAATCGCATTTCAATTTGGATAGTTACGTTAATTAAGTAACATCAAGTAAGTTGCGTTGTTCGACAACTTTGAAGGTGTAGGTTTTAATAATTTATTTATGTTGTTCATTTACTCTAGCTTCAGCTCTGATCTTAACTTAGTTTTCCTGTAAGGTGATATTAAATTTAAGCATGGGGGGAGGGGGGGAGGATACGTACACACTTAGAAAACAATACTTCCACTACGGCACTCACACATTAACAATGACACAATACATCGCCAAATCCTGCACACATTCGCACTCGACAGAGGGGAAAGCTGTGACGAGTTGGGTATACAAATGACGTGTTTTAAAAAAGCCTGTCGGCTATAGGCTCAATATCGTTGAGGTTGTTCCTGATTGATTTTAATGCAATGCATTTATTTGCTTTTAAGCTGCAACTTCGCTACTCTGACAACCTCGCAAGGGATATTATTTTGGCGTGCAGCTATGTTAGCCTTTAAGTAAAAAAATATAGGTGCTCATTTTGAAGTCATTTGAGACTTAATTATTTTAATTGCTTTTTTATCTTAACTATAATTTTTTTATGATATCAAATATCATAATTCATGTTTCAGTATTCTGCGTGCAAACCTCTGCGCTAATAACAATCGGCAACATTTTTCTTTATGGCAACACTGCAGCGTTAGCTTGGAGCCTTCCAACAGACCCGAAAATCTTTTACATGCTCAAGGGATATGACAAAGAAGCATTGAGAAGGGGCGATTATATGAACAGTGTTTACTATATGGATAACGATGGGCGGCTTATTTCCAAAGTTCCATATAAAAGGTGAGATTGTTTTTTAAAGATCCTCACCCCACCTGATGTTAAGTGTAAGTGGAGTCCAGTCGCGAAGATAGAAGGCGTGCCACTCCGACCATCTTCACCTTACCGGCATGAACCCAATCCCCTTCCCCACGGAGCCCTGGAACCCTACTTACCAGTACAAAGACAACTCCACCAAAAGGTAGTGTTATTTAAATGTGTTCTTCTGTAAGATAGAGGTTGCTTTCCCAGACAGGCGTTCCAATTCGAGCGGTAAATGTTGGCACATTTAGCTCTCTTAAATCTATATATTTTGATAGACGACAATTGTCTTGGACACAGATTTTCTGGTATCCTAATGTTCCGGGTTTGAAATTCAGATGGCTCAGTGTTGCGGCACCTCCCTTATTTTTCCCTTCAGTACCCCTAGCACGAACCAATATCGAATTCGAGTCATTGTCAAATGTGTACTGATTTTTAGTTCCCGTTACGTCGAAAGTGGCGCTGCTGTTCAAGTTTCCATTCAAAATTTAACATTGACATTTCGGTTTGCAAACTATTCGAATTCGATAATGGTTCGTGCTAGGGGTACAGTTATTTCTCAGAATTAAAAGAAATGACGAAGTCAGTTAAGCAAATTTATTACAATCTCAAAGTAAAAGCGGTGAGCAAAAATTCATTAGCGTGGTCGTACGACGATTTGATTTTATCATTCAGTAGCTAGCTAGTACTTTCCCTTTTTTATTCCAACATCTAGTTCTGCTGGACTGCTCTGTTGATCGAACTAATGAGTTTCTTTTCCTACTTGTGTTAACAGAACAAATGAGACTGGTAATTCTCAGCTACTTGATAGAGTATAGTATTCTGAATGTAACTTCCACGATGCTGCTGGGAACTGATCAATCGTCCTTATTGCTCTTAAGTTGTAAATAATTTATTATTTATATTTATTGCTACTTTTGTAGTTCGTATTCTATTGCCATAGCATTCGTTTTCTAGACTCTTACTAGTTGATTGGTAGATAATGTTTATGGCTGTTTTGATGATAAAGTATAAAATTTAATTTAATCAATTATGATTCATTCATCCCTTTGGTTGCTTTTAGAAAAACTTTCGTTAATCCAGCATTTTCCAAACGAAGTATCGATGAAGATGAGACTTTCAAGGAGAAGCTAAAAGCGAAGATAAATCGCATGAAAATGCACGAGAAGCACAAAACACGAGAATATCTAAAGAAAGACCACATGGAAAGTCATGTTAAAGATTTTCATAGAAATAGCCGTGTCGATCTATTTGGAAAGGTTGAGAAACTTCTAACTGCGTAAGTATTGAACATGTTATAGCAAATATTATAAGATAGGTAATGAATCTTGCTGTAAATTAAATGCAGTCTCCTGCAACATACTATTTGGAATTAAACTTACCTGTTTATATTGACTGTACAAATAAAAACTTGAAGTCTCCCAACGAAGAGTTCGTTGGCGCAGGTAGTTTGGTCTGCGATAGTGGAAGTCAAGCAACTTTTGTTATTGTCAGCTATTGAACTGGTCACCAAAAATTGATGTGGTTTTATGAAATTACGATACGAGTGAAACCTTTGAAAGTGTTTTTAGTTCGTTGATATAACTCTGAATTATAAAAAGTGGTAGTGCCAGGAAAGTCTTTCCTCGACTGTGAATCGAATCCCGCGTAGCTGGCGAGCTTTTTACTACTAAGCTACCGATGCTTGTTAATTTTTTTAATGACAATTAAATGTGAGATGTCCCATGCTAAAGATGAGCAAAAAAATTGTGGCGATGTAAAAAAGTTTCACTTAAAAAAAATACTGAGCTTCTCCGTGTTTATTTTTCCTATGATATCATTAGGTAAGGTTGATGTCCCAGCAGTGGGAAAGAGACGATAATATTATATTCCCCAATATGGCGAAATTTTTAATTCTGGTCAAGCTTTATTATATTTTCACCGTAGTCTTTAGCTCGCTGATTTTTATCGTGAAAGTTGTATATGGTCAATTAGGGGACAATTTAACAAGGGGTACAGTGTATGATAAAGAATCCGGGTACTTAAAGAGATATTCTAAGACCATTTGACGTCTGATGACGTCAACGTCATTAGCCTGGTCTGTGGATTTGGTTTTTAGCAATATTTTCTTAAGATTTAAAAATCGAGCAGTTACATGCTCAAAAATAAAAAACGACGGGTTGCACTCCGGGAGTGCCAACAGAAGTGAAAACGTGAATATTAACGATGTGCATTTTTGATATTTTGGAATATGTAGTTAGGGAATAATTTTGCACGAATTGCTTTAAGTATCAGTATAAAAGTACTATCATGTACGGTGGTAGAATACAATATTTATTTATTGCGCTATCGTACACATACATGACCATTTATATTACATTAAAAAAGTTTATCTCTCAGAAAAATCAACTTACATGAATCACATTTAAGCGCACCTCGCGACACCTATTGTAAAAAAAATGCATTTTCTTCGCAATAAAGCTGCCACGGTGCCGTCCTAGACAGAGACTTATTATTATAATACGATAAAATTAAATAAATCTATGTTTCCTCCAATATATTGAAAGTCAACAACCTTTCCAATTTTATTGTGTGTCATGATGCGATCAGCCCACGTGTCTAACCTGAGGCGAGTTCAACATTTTTTACCCATACAAAAAAAAGTGTACAACGCCGCTAAAGAAGTTTTCACTTCAAAAATTATAACTTTGATTGCTATTTCTTCTTTCAAATGTTTAATACTTGTGAAGGTATTCAGTTTACATTGTGGGATACCTATAATGCGAAGAGATGGCGCTGCCTTGCAGCTTAAGAAAGGTTAGAAATAATTCGCCATGGCCATCAAGGCCGCGGTGGCATAATGGTCAGTGCATTCGCCCGGATAGCGAAGGGTGCGGGTTCCGGTCCCTTTTGCTGCCTGGTCCGCGTGGAATATTTTCTTTAGATTTAAACATCGAGCAGTTACATGCTTAAAAAATAAAAATTATAAGTTTCAATAGAATCAAAACTCTTTCCACAGACTGGGACAAGATGGCCGACAATGTGTGTTGTACAAACTATGTGAAGCCGCACAAGCTCCGCCGCAGCAAGGAACTTTCCTCCAGGAATTCCTCAGAGTTGTATTCACGTGAGTGTTTTTGAAGTATTCATAGAAATTAATTTATAAATACTAACATTATGAAGTGGAAAGGTTTTTCTTTTGAATGTTAGTAACAAGAATAATCAAAATCGACAGAACCAATTCCAAAAACTCTTTCACCTGTACCTTTTCCTGGGAATATAGTATTAAGAATCTCTATAAGTAACCGAAATATATTAAGTTTAAATAACTTCGGGTAAATGTAATATTGGCCCATATTATAAATACTGTTTCTTTTACATTCTAATGATTTTTTATTTATTTTTCTGGGTCTTAGTGTCCAACCTCATGGGCATTTTGAAAATGCCGTGCTTATACCAAGTCTTCTTATCATCATTAGGATAGGATCATTTTTCTTAATTGGCAACCGGTTTCAAAAAAAAAATCCTATTTTCGAAACCGGTTTCAAAAAATAAATTCTTATTCTTTTTTAATACTGGTTTCGAAAAAAGGTTTCCAAAACGACCGAAGGGTTTACCTAACTTTGCATAGCACGAATTTTATTGAAACACGCTATCGTTTAGTTTCTATTGAACCTTGTGTAGTTTACGTAGAAACAATAAATGCTCTCTCACTATTTAAAATTTGAAACTGCTACTTGTTCATCAGACTGTAATAAACACAGTTCAACACAAAAATTATAATTCTGTCACTCATAAAATGTTACATTCAAATTCATATCGAAGCCGGCTTTGTTATTGGAATTAACTAATTAATGAAACAATTTTTAATGAAAAAATTCGTTGCACTGAATCAATTTCCAACAGATTATAGTGAAAATGAAAATATGTGATTTCATTACTTGCAGGTTGCCTAAGGGAACATCGTTCGTTAACAATGCTCATCAGGAATACGATGAAGCTCATACAACGACAAATGACTGCGCAAAACAATATCCCGGTTGTGATAGTTGAAATAAGCTTCAAAATCATAATAATAAATTAATAAAAGAAAATCTTTTATTTTCCTCTCCACAGTTGCACCTTAAAAATAAAATACCTTATATTGTGGGAGACTGGGACTTATCATAGGTAGTTTACCGCTTAGCCCGGGCCCTGCATTGTACCGGCTGCCGCCAGTCGCTGATCCCCTGGATGCCCCGGGGGATCACCGGTCCTTCCTTTTTGGGGGGGTGAGTGGGGCTCGCCATAGGCGAGCAGACGCCGACGAGGTCGTGGATGTGTTCTCACGAGTTCCCATGACCTTGTCCGGCAGCGACGAGTCCCTCCCCGACGTGTCCTCGTCAGAAGTCGATGAGGATGCAGCTGTGATGGACATACTCGCGCCAAGGCGTATGTGAGGGGCATCGGTGGGTTTTAGACGGTAGGCCGTGGAGGCATCTTCTGGAGGGCATTCTGTCTGCCCCCAGAAGCCGCGGAGAGTCCGACATAACCCCGCGTACCCCAAAACGCGGGGTATGCGTAAAGCATTTCCCATCGTTAAAGAAAAAAAAATGTAGTTTACTGCCTGTGCTTTAGGTGTCAGGCGACCCACCCTCGGATCATATAATTAGAACTAATCCCGGTTGTGACAGTTAAAATTAGATTAAAACTCATAAAATTAAAGTTAAACATTTTTTAGACATAAAACTAGTTTTTACGGGTTAAGGCACGAAACTTTATTTATTTATTGACGTTTCGCAGCCTTTTTCAGGTCTGCATCGTCAGAATAATGATTTTTTATTTAAAATTGTCGAGCTACCTTCGAAAGACTTATATTGAGCGTTCGGTTATTTCATTGGAAGATTTTTAAAATTTTACTGTCTATGTATGAATTTATTATTTAATTTACTTAATAAAGTATTTTATTTAAAATTCTTGATTGTAATTTTGAGTTTATTTATTTGACCCTAAGAAACAAATATTTTTTAGACAGTTAAAACAGAACGAATTTTTTAAATTCTTTTTTTATATTGCCGTTTAAAAAACTGTTTCATTTAATCCTTGGAGTGCGTTAAAATATACCTACAGAAGTAAAGAAAATATATTAAAACATTAAAACTCGTAGTTCGTGCAAATATAAATCGGTATTTTTACTGTGAGTCGTCTATGAAAAGCCGTTTTCTTTGCCTTAGACAGATTAGATTTTAAAATCACCAGTTTTGGTTCTACAAATACATTTTTATCTAAAATGTTTTCATATATTTTCCACAATGCCGCAGACTTGTGTTATGCAAACTTTAAGTTATGCAATTGCATTGCATGAACAGACAGAGGTATGAAATAAATGTATGTAATGAATTTGTAGCTTTTAAGAATATACACTTTTATTTGCTGACGTTCTTGGGAATAACACTGATGACTCGTCTGAATTCTAAATTAATTGCGTCCGTAACAATTACGGAAAATATGTACTTATAAGCTGTGGAGAATAATATCAAGAGTCTTTAACATGGCATCTATACGTTTTTCAAATATCAAGTTTATCATCTAACTAACACTTTTAGGTGTTTCCATTAAAAATTGTATTAAATTCCTAGAGATCGATATTTTACTTCAAAACATGCCCTCGCATCTTATTATTGACTTTTATTAATGTTCGAAATAATTAGGTTAAAGAAACATTATTTCCCATATAAAAACAATACAGTCGCTTGCAAGACAAAACATATTAAGTTAGGCAAAAGTTATTGCGTAGTCCAGTCGGTAAGCAGATGGAGTCTGTATTAGTTCTTAGCTTAATCCAAATCATTAGGTATATTATGTTGTTTTAATATCTTTAAAGATACTGATTAATTTTGCCTCCTTTACCTCATTGGGTTATATGTTATATAGCTGTGATCCTTCGAATATTATGGTTTACGAGTTAGGGAGAACTATGTAATTGGTGTATCTTCCAAGTTATTTGGGTGTTTATTTTATTTTGTTAGAGAGAATTTTGTCAATAAGTATTTGCGTATTGTATGTATATAATTGTTTTACGTTCATTACGTTGGCATCCATAAACATTGTAAAGGTCTAGTTTAGTTAGATAATCATAATTGAATATATACTTTATGATTTTGTTTTGTAGTATGTATAATTCTTTGAGTCTAGATTTAGGCTTACTGCCCCTCAATTTGATGGAGTAAGTTAGGTGTGATTTGACAAATAGGACTCTGACTCTTGAACCTTCAAACATCTTCAATTGTATGAAGTTGAAATACTTTTCACGCTGGTATTTAGCACCGTTCCGGTTCCACTGTTTTGTACGGTGACATTAATTGGAGCTAAACAGGTGACAATTTCATGCGTAGATATTCACTTGTTTCAACTGAGAGACAATACGGTCACTGTCAACATATACTTTAGTAGTGCCTAGTGGGAAATACCTAGTCATCGTCAGGGCTATTTTGTATTAAGGAGGTAACTATTATTCAAATCTAAAGAAAAATTTACTAGAAAAAAAAATCCACGCGGACCAGGCAGCGGACGGGACTCGAACCCGCATCCTTCGAGTTCGAATTTAATACCATTTAAATTTTTTTCCACATTCTGCATCAAAACCTTTGCAATATAGTCAAGGTTTATTTCTTTTCAATCTTTTATTCCTCTCAACTTTTTTTACAGATAAAAATAAAAATTTAGGCCATATGGATAAATTACCATTGGTATTCTTACTAATTATTTGTGCCGAATTAAAAGCAACAGATGAAATTAATGCTAGCGAAAATAGAACTATTGAGCTGGATATTGAAGAGCCTTCAAAAGTTTTATCGAGAAGGAAAAGGTTTTTGGTGTTTCCAGAAGGCAGCTCCTTCCAGTTGGGTAACTATAGCTTGTTTCTTCAAAACTCTTAATTATGTTTTTGTATTCATTTGAAATAAAAAGTATCATTATCTTTGTTTATAAAGTTTCCGTGTTGTTTGGTAACAAGCTTTTATCGAAATAATTTTAGTTTAAATAATATTGTTTGGCTGCCTTGCGTAGAAATTTTCCCACAAAAGTTTTTGTTCATAAAGTACGATCCAATTTCCATTATAACACAAAAACCACTTCAGAATTGTCTTAATTTTATTGTGAAGTGATTCTACTTGTTATGATATTCTACTATAAACCGTAAATTTTGAGTTACCTGGGAAATTTCTAATTCGTGTAAATAAAAAGAGTGTGGACAGTTAGTTATAACCAATAATCGGATACCATACAAAAATAATGATTTATATTGTTCACAAAATATCATAAAACGGTGTAAACTTAAAAGTAGCCAATCTTTTAAAGACATATCCTAAACTTATTTTTATTTGAATAAATTTATGACAGTAAAGATTTTAAAGGTTTCATAAATGCACAATTATGGGAGTCACCGTGGAAACACTTCTTGAAAAAAAAATTTAAGTAAATTAATTAAAGATTTTATTCGTAGAAGTATGACCTAAATTTACGTTGGCTGTGAATTAGCTAGTAAAGTTTTACAGGTAACTCAAAATTCACGGAGTATATTGCATCTATGAGTTATACTTTCATATTATTGTAATTTTTGTAATGTATTATATATAAAGATAGACTAAAAATAGGTCAAACTATTGCATATTTTGTTTTTAAGACTGTTATTAATAGTTCAAGTAAATAATTTTGTGATAAGTACATAAATATTTTGATAATCAACTGAATAATGATAATTTTCTTATTAACCGCATTCTGGATTATATTTAGCATTTCACATTTTGTAAATTTTAATAAATCAAATCTTTTTATCAGTATTCGAGCACCAAAATCACGGATATATGATGATTGGCGATATAGTGTGGTTTGCCACCACGGCTGCGTTAGCATGGGAACTGCCTTCTGACCCCGATACATTTTACCTATTAAAAGATCACAAAAAACACTATGGACAAAGACGACAGGATAGTAAAAATATTTTATTCCTAGACGAAGACGGCAAGGTGATAGGTAGAAAGCCTTATAAGAGGTATGTATTTAAATAACATGCTGTTTTAAAAGAAAATCGATTCTATAATGAAGACTAGAATATTTCATCGCAACAACGTATTTGTTTTGGTTTAAGGTTTTTTTTATATGTATATAACCAGGTAGGCAAATTACTCTACCCCACCTGACTGTAAGATAAAGTCGAGACGCAAAGATTGCTGGTACAGCACTTGTAAACTGCCACACCAACCATCCTCATGTTGCCGGCCTGCAGAAATGCTTCTTTAAGCCTCTCTCAAGGGACCCAAGATTCTAGAAAAAGTTCCACTTGCGGATAGTATGACAAAGAAATGAGTCACCAAATTTCTTTGAGACCACTAACAACTTCTGTTGTTTTAAGACCTAGCAACGCTACAAGCATTATAACTTTAAAATTCAAAGCTTACATTAAAAAAATATATGTACCGTCTTATATTTATTATTCGGAGTTGATGAGCTTGTAGCATTGAATTTATTGGTATGGTGCATATAACTAAACTTTGAAATTAGAGTTTTTATTTTGAGAATTGAGAATCTTTCTGCATATTTTCCTAGAGGCCACTTTGCCTACGGACTCCAATATATCTGGACAACATCCTTAAACAAATAAATGTTATTTCTTGTATAAGGTATGGAAGTCCCACAAAATATGAAATAATATCTGAAACTTCAGTATTTTCTTGTTTATTTGTATAGAAAACTTTTTTGTACATTTATTTCGATATTCTACTTCAAGGTATAGGCAAATTTGGTAAGACACTTTATTTCTTAAACTAAGTGTTGAACACATGTTTATATTTTTGGGATAATAAGGTGACTTTCTTTGCAACATAGACGAATCATTGTAAACCCAGCTTTTGCCAAACGAAGTGTTCATGATGAGAATGATCCAAGAGAAAATAATTTCAACAAAGAACTCACCAAAAAGGAAATGCATGAAACGGAAATAAATACTGATCGCTTTAAAGACTTGGATGTGAGCAGAGTGGAGTTCCATAGAGAGACGAGAAGATCGCTTTATGAAAAAGTAGAGAATGTATTTAAAGGGTAAGTTCAATTTGTGTATATTGAAATTTTACGCTGCTTGGATAGATGTTCTGAGGCTTCCTAGGGTGATTACAGAAGTCTCTTTTTAAGGTTCCGCTGTTTAACCGTCCGTCCGTCGCTTCGTCTATCAGTAAGCTGTATCTCCTGAGCTAATTGTATGATGATTTTTGTATCGCCTTTATAATTATTTGTGCCACCGCTGGCGAGGAAGCGAATAACTTTCGGCTTATTTCTCGCTCTATAAACGTACGATGGATATAATTTAGGTGTAAACAAAAGAGTTGCATTATATTCATATTTAATGGCTCATACTGACGGCGAGAACTTGCGCGAATACAGCTTATCGCTTAGCGACAAGAGCTATCAAAGATAACACTTGTTTAGCGATACTCGCTCAGCGATGCTCGCTTGTCTTAAAACAAATTAAAACAGAAAACGCTGCGTTACTATTCTTATATATGTTTGTTAAACTTATCTTGTTAGGAAGAAGAAAAAGAACCGGACCATTATCGAATTCGAATAGTTGAATTCGATGTAGATATACGTCAAATGTGTACTGACTTTAAGTTCTCGTGGCGTCCGTTGTGGCGCTGCTATTCAAGTTTCAATACAAAATTTGACAGTGACATTTCGCACTCGCAAACATAACGGATTCGATATTGGTTCGTGCTAAGGGTATTGTTAAAATAACCGTTATTGGCAAAGGAGGATATTACTTTCATAGAGTATGTTTACTCGATCAACAGGTTCGGTTGGAACGGGCGGGAGTGCGTCTTGCGTCTGTTGTGCGAAACAGGAAAGCGGGGCAGAGGACAAGGGACCTTCTTGGAAGAGATTCTGAGGGCGACGTTTACGTAAGTAGTCACCAAGTTGCTGTTAGATCGGTGTGATGTAAAGTTCCTATAGTGTTTTCTTTCACTTTTTAGTATGGTTTTTAGAATTTCTTGTATCTATAGTAAAATTTTGCTATAATTAAATCTTATAGAAAAATAACCATTTGTCAATATTTTCACATTTGCGAGTACTATGTATTTGACGTGACATTAACGATAGTTATATTTATGTATCGATGAAACAACGCAGCCTTAGTGAATTTTATAATATACATTCGTTTACAATATTTTATACTTAAACGTGAAGTTTATATACAAACCTTTTTCTTTTTAAATCTTGAAGAAAGGTCTGTTCGTAACAATGCGATTAGTGATCACACGGCTCCGTCCACTCCGTCGCCGCGTCGACAAATACGGATGTGAATTTTCCTTGTAGCATAAAAAATTTCAATGCCTTTATTTCGGGTGAGAATACTAGAGAAGGAAGGTCTATCTTGATAAATTTCCATGCATAATTATTGTTTGATAATTCGTCAAAAAAGGCAAATAACTATCTATTTGATTTCGTTTCGTCGCTTCCGTGAAAATCGAAAGGGAACATTTAACCTTCATTCGGTTGAACTAAGCCAAACTGCGTTCGAAGATTACAATTACGTGATTAAATTAACACCGCAGGAGATGCAGCTAATGGTGGTCGATTGAACATTCTCCCATCGACGCACATTTATGCACAGTGGTAGTCTGCGTCATTATGAAGATGAGCAAGATGCAATGACATAATTGTTAGTCGTTACGGTGGATCATATCTATCAATTGCTTCGCTGCTTATTATTCTAAGATAGAATCGGTAGAATTCTGAAGACATTTTTAATAGCATTGAATTTTTTCACAGCCACTGCTCATGAGAAATCTGACATCAGGGTAGCAGATGCTTCTTCTGAAAATTGCGGGTAGATTAAGTTATTTCGGGGGCGGACTGATTTTGATGTCTTAAGATATCCGTCAAATTATTCCCAGATCGACCATGACTAATGAAATAAGGGATTTTATAGGGGCATATAATGAATTTTCAGCTGGCAGTTAATATGAGAATTATATTGCTGAATGATTCCAAAACTATGACAACTAGAAAAAAATAAAATAAGGAATGTAGCTCTTTGGTTTTAGGTGACTAAACCCCATTATAATTTTATAATATCTCAGGTAGTTGTCGGTCTGTCCGTCCGTCCGTCTGTCTGTCAATACCGTTTTTCTCAGGAACGCAGGTAGGTATCGAGTTGTAATTAAAAACCATATACTCAGATCTGCGGTAACTTGAAGCTGTAAATGAGTCCGGTATCAAGGTATTTAACAAATATCTTGTCTGCATTCCCTGTAACTTTTAATTTCTGTAAAGACGTATCCCAAGCGAAATGAACTATTATAGTCCCAATCACAAAGCGCTAAAGCGCTAACTCCGCAGCGAGTTCGAGATATGAACTTAACGGCTGCATATACGGATATTTGGCTTCATAAAAACGATATGCTACTCAATCGCTCAGTAATTTAAAGTAAACATGACTTCTTAAAATCTTTTTACTGGTTTTTTAACGAAGGTTTTCGTCACGCAGGTATGGGATAAGCATGTTGATCGATCAATGTACAAAATTACATAATTTATAAGGCTTCCATTTTTAAAACACGGATAGAAGCAATACCATTCCCAGATGTGATCCTCCGGAGTATAATATATTTGCCGGAGATATTCAACGTCATAACTTATTCCAGATTGCCGAAAGGTCGGGAGTTCGGGTCCGCGGCGCACAAGGAGTACGATATTGCCCACGGGACGCGGGGCGACTGCATCGCCTTGTACCCAGACTGCAGAAGCGCATCGATCAAATAAAAGAGCACTTTAACTTTTATAGAAAACAATTGGGTTTTATTTCGACTACCTGTGTGTCTCGATGTACTTTGCTTCTCTTTACATTATTTCCCTTTGCTTGTGTTTAAAGAACTTTTTTATTGGGAAAATGGGGGTTATATTACTATGTTGTTGTTAAAGTATTAAGTAGTTCGATAGCGAAAGTGATAAGCGCGTTCGGCTGCGATTGTTGAAGTTAAGCAACTTCCGCTATGGTCGCTTATTAGATGGGTGCTCAAAAATTTACTCGCTTGAGATCCTCTGTGCTTCGGAAGGCACGTTAAGGCGTTGGTCTCGGTTGCATCTGCAGTCATTCGCACCCAGCAATCCGCACAGTTCCGCACTGGGCCCGCGTGGTGGGTCATGGCTCAATAACCCTATTCCATCCATAGATAAGGCCTGTGCCCTAGCAGTGGAGACATTAATAGGCTGATGATGAATGTATTTAGTTATAAGAGATGTAAATTACCCCACATGACCTGATTTTAAGTGTACTTAAAGTATTATAAGTCTTAAGTCTAATTCTCACTCTGCCAGCGTGAACCCAATCCCCTACTCCTTGGAGCTAGTGTTGCCAGATGTCCCAATTTGCGCGGGACGTCCCGATTTTCAGGGGTTTGAGGACGCGTCCCGATTTGTACCTGATCGGGAAGCTAAATGTCCCGATTAATAAAAAAAAAAAATTAGGTTTAATTACCGATTTTTTTTTTATAATACTATACTTACACTAGTAATTTAAAACGCAATAAATTAGACTCAGACTTAAAAACCCCTTGTTTTTTGTTTACTGTCCCGATCTGCAACCCTAAATCCAGATTGTTTTGACCTCATGTACCGATTTACAACAAATCGGACCTGGCAATACTACTTGGAGCCGTGGTACCCTACTCACCAGCAGATACACCACCAAAAAACAGTGTTAAGTTACTCTGATCTTCTATAAGTCGGAGATTGCTTACCCTGATGGGCGCGCGGAAATTCCGCTGGGCCCTACCTCGCCTTATAATTATGATTGAACAGGTGTTCGTTTCAAAAGAAAAACTACTAGATCCAATTTAACTTGTCGGTTTTGACCCAGCTGGATATGAGGTGTTGAATTTTTTTTGCATGTTATCTTGCACTCGTACTCCACTTAAATTTAATATCAGCTGGGATGGAGATGTTGTGCCTTGCACAAAAAAGATCATTTTAATACCTAAGGAGTGTGCTAACGTATTCAGGTTATACGAATCAGAAAGGGTTTGATAATAATTTACCTCTCTTGATTGATTTTTTTGCCATTACAAACTTAAGACCCATATTTTCAAAAACCCAAAATCGCCTTGAAATATTTAGTGTTGTTTATTCAGCGACAACAAATCTACAGTCTGATTTGATTCCCGGAATCCAGCTACTGTAGACAATCATGTGACAGCCCGTGTGATTGGCTTGATTGACTTTCAACACAATGTCAAAGGTTTAAGGTTCTTTATGGAGGCGCAGGGGACATTAAACGTGACTGAACTAATAGGAGGAAACGACAAGCGCGGTCTAATTCTTAAGCCAAACATACCGGGTCACTGAACACGCGCCGCTGTTTTAAGAAAAGTTAACTGCAAAATCACAATATGGACATTCTCTCCTTACATGATATAGTAAGTAGTTATATTTCACAACTATACTATTATCATCGTCAGCCTGTTAAGCACGGTCGAGGCACTGGCGTTCCTTAGGAAAAGAGTCACGCTCAATTAGATGATTTTCGTTATAATTTTAATTTTGACGTGACAACGTCTTATAATTCGATGGAGCTGGCTGCACGCACGAAAAACATGACTCATGCGGCGTCACCTCGCTCTGAGGCGTTCCATTTAAGGCTTGAAGTGCAAGCGAGAGCGCGCAACGAGCGACAAAGAGGCAGAATCGGCCTCCGCGCTTGGCAGCGTTCGACATCTGTCTCTCTCCCACTTGAGTGAGCGATGCATCCGCATGGACTGCTGCTATACAATAATATATTTTCAGGTTTTCGTCCAGTATGAAGTGCAGTGAAAAGTGAATGTGGTGTCAATTGTTTATAGCAACGATAATTGCGGCGATAAAGGTAATTATATCACACATGTTTAAAAGTTGTAGAACAATTGCTCAAAGCACATTCATACTTGTAAAAACTGTGTACATTGTAAAAAAACCTTGTTACGTTCAACTATCGTCAGTAAACCGCCTTTACAAACAACCGATTTTTTCAAACATGAAACTGGTCGATGTATGTATCTAAAGAAAATATTACTATTATTATTTATTATTATTATTATACTATAAGAACAGAATTCGCATAGAAACTATAGACGAGGGATAGGAAATACGTTATGTGCGATGGAACGTAAAACTGCACTATTTAGCAGTAGTGTCTTCGGTATAGTCTTTAACAAAATACCTAATAATATAAAGAGTTTGCCAATTACTATTTTTAAGAAACGCTTAAAGAAACTGTTAATTGACAAAGTATATTATACTACACAAGAGTTTCTTAGTGACACTTCCTTGAAAGAAATGGACTACATTACCTAATTAAATAATATTTTTAGCCTATTATAGCACAATTTATTATTATTATTATATATTTTTAGTTTGACATAGAAACATTGCTTAGTAATTGTGATATAAACATATTTTGACATTTATTTCTAACTATGACTTGTTTGATTGTAATTGTAATATAATAATTTTGATTTTTATATAATTGTAAACCTGATTATTATTTAAAAAATATTGTATACCTTGTAATAAGGTCGAAACGTAGTGACACTATACTTTTTCCCTAACACCAAATTGCTGTACTAACCTACATTACACAATAAATCATTTGAATTTGAAAAAAAAAATACTAGAAAAAAATCCACGCGGACCAGGTAGCAGACGGAAAGTAAAGCTAGAAAGAATTCGACACGGCCCTATGAAAAATGCTAGAAAGAATTCGACAGGGCCGCGGTAGCAAATTGGTCAGTGCGAAGGATTGCGAAGGATGCGGGTTCGAGTCCCGTCTACTGCCTGGTCCGCGTGGATTTTTTTGTTTAGATGATTTTTTCATGTTAAAGGTTGGAAAACAACCGTATGGCCCGCCTGATGGTAAGCGACCACCATAGCCTATAGACGCTTACGATACCAAAAAAATCTCTCGCACCGTTGCCTACCCTGACCCAACTCCCTACCCCGTGAAGTCATGGAACCTTATAGTCTAAGAGCCAGTGTTCCGCAGACTTACGGTATAGTAGCAAACTTTATATTAATGCTAGTTATACCAATTCATCTGCCGTAGATAAAATGGGGGTTCACTATTCCCATAGAGGGTTCCTTTAGGCGTGCCTAGAAGTCGAAAAGCATGAAAATCGACTTTTAAAACGTGTTCGCAGCATGTCTGCCGTTTTGATATCTTAAAACCTTTCTTTACCTTTTGATATCTTAGAAAAACTTAAAGGCAGACACTTGTTCCGGTTCCTAATATATTTGATATAATAAAATAGATTTGCAAAATTTCATAAAATTTGCGTTATTTTAGCAAAGCTAAAAATTATATATGTTGTTTTTATTATTCTTATAAACATATAATTACAAAAACAGACACATTGTTTAGTTCTGACATGCGGGCAGACCACATGATACTTTCTCAGTCGTGCTATTACTCTGCGAACTGCGACTGCGAAACTATTATGTAGTCTGCCTGCATTTCACAATCCGGCTGAATAAAATAATCATTATGTAACAGAGACTTTAATGGACATGTCGAATGATTTAGTGCAGTGTCATCAAATCTCTCATCCAACCCAGCCCTGGTATCAGAAACCAGTCTAAAACCTGGGTCCTTATACACTGCCAGACACATCCATCGGGCCACTTAATGTTTTGAGTTTTGACGGTCTGTAGCAAAAGTTTAATTTATTTTAGGTTAAGCAATAATAATATGTTTGAAAATACACGAAAAAGATGTTTAATAAATCAGTTTCAAAACTGCTTCAAAACTTTTTGGTCTATGTAACATTTATTTTTGGCTAGGGACCGTGAAAACCAAGTCAGAACTTAAAATGCTAATTGAGCCGATAGATGTGTGCGCGAATATATTTCATTAATACACATAACCTGTACATTATTATGGAGAGTTTAACGTTTATCGTCCTTTTGTAGGTTGACATTGTAGCGTGAATGGGTAATAATACAGCCGCATAATGCCAGCACTTCACTTGACCAAACGTCTTTGCTATATGTTAAAAGATATTTTTTCCGGAACAAGTACTAGGAGACTATACACGGCTAAGAGGATTAACGGTTATGAAAATGGAAAGAAGATTATATTTAGATTTTTTTCTTTTTTTTTTCTTTTATGGTTATGAAAAAGCTTCTCGCCTACACCGAGCTACTGACATACAGCCAACAGACTCAATAGTCCGGGTGACGTGTACAACCGAACTATCGCAACCAAAAAAATCAGTAGTTCGGTCTGCCAGACTAGAAACACAACACAGATAGCCAAGTGCAGTGCCTTCATAAGATGTCTCTTCTGTAGCTAACGCCAGAAGGCATGAATTTATTAATTGATAGTGTTAACCCAAGAATACTTTTAGGTGCTGGTAACACAAAATAAAAAATAAACATGCCTGTAAATGAAAGTTCATTTTTTTACTGCAATAGATAACAACATAATACTTCTAGCACATGTTGTATATGCAATAAAGTGGATATTATTCATGAGATTTTGGAATTATTACTCTATTTTATTTTAAGCATTTTATTGCTAGATGTTTCAATCTAAGGAAAACTTTACTAGAAATAAATCCACTCGGGCGAGGCTTCAAGCGAGATTCGATCATGAATCTTTCGTTACCCAGACGGATCGCCATGTTCACATGAATTACGGAAGATAGTAAATGTCATTTAGATTTAAATATTTTAGAATCTTATTAAAAATACTAGAACAAATTTCTTTCAGCAGTCAGGTAATGACAATAATAACAAAACTTAAATTACTCTATTTAAAAAAAAAATCCAATTTATTTTCATTTCACACAAGAAAATATATATTTTGCATTCACGATTTCAAAATGCACCATAATAAAATTTATTTTTATCATACTTGTAACCATCGTATCTTACGGATAACTTTTCAAAATATTGTAGTTTCCGAACAATTCCAAACTCCCAAACACACAGCAGCATACTGGTCATTCAAGTACCTGCCGGCGAAGGGTTAATAGCCGCTGCGACACATCACATGACAATGACAATGTTGAGAAGCTCTTCGTAGCTACTGCCTGTAGTATGCAATGAAACATCTCGTTCTATATACAATGCAACAAGTTGTAATACTGTTGCTCTCTTCGTTACTGGTTGTATGTGAATTTCAACAAGAAAATTGTCCCAATGTGAAAACTCCGTTGAATTTAGTGAGGAAAAGACGCCACCTTGTGTTTCCCGACGGATCAGATATAGTGGTACGTAATCAGCTAGGTTTAGTAAATAAATGCTGTTTAAAAAAAAAATTAAAATGCGTTCTTATAAATAATAATTTTGATACATATCTCTACGTTTCGGGACCTTTACAAACTCCGTTCTCAAGTGTATGAATAAAAGAGATTTGTATAAAAGTTTTAAAGAACGAATTTCAACCTGTTGCAGCAGTGTTTTATTGAATGAGTGATGTGCGTGAAAACATAAGAAATATCTAGGTTTAGTATTAAAATGGATATATAAATTGTGTCATTGGCTTAGAGTTCAAAATTAATTATACATAAATTGCTATGATAATATTTTATTTAATCAAAGTAATGCAAATAAATTACAAATATATAATAAGCGCCCGTCTGGGAGTTTTCACCTTATACAAGACTACAAAAAATTCTTTACATGTGGGGTAATTTACCGCGCCGTCTTTAAAAAAAAGTGGGTTTTATGTTACCACGATGCAAGTTAAACTTATACCCTCTTATTAACAAACAGGGATTAAGCTTAGACTAGTTACGCCGTGTTTTGTTCATGTCACTCAAATGCCATTTGTCATTTAATGAACAGAGACAAAACATAAAGTAACTAATGCAAGCTTCATCATCATAAGCCTATTAATGCCCCCACTGTTGGGGTACAGGCCTTCCCTATGGATGGAATATGGAGATTAGGCCATGACCCACCACGCGGGCCCAGTGCGGTTGGCGGGTGCTAACGACTACAGATGCAGCCGGGACCAACGGCTTAACTAAATTAATTTACCTTTTAATAAGTTTAAAGTGTGTATAAGAACATGTCTCCTTAAGAAAGATTACTAAGCTGTTAAAGATTTCATAAATGATAAGTCACCTTGGGCTTATTATAATAGACTAAGTCGTTTTACTTTGCTATTTTGGTTGAAAATTGTTTACTCGCCACTTCTAAATTTAAAAATAGTACCTAGCTATACTTAACTTTTGTTAATTAATAATATTAATGTGATGGAAGTTGACATCAACACATGTATTAAATTTTTGATGTCATCTTACAATTGACGACACTGTATGAAACCAAACAGGGAGAAAAAAATAGCCCTTGCTGAATTTCTTGCCGGTTCTTCTCAGTACAAGGTCTCCCGCCGTAGATTTACGAACCGATGGCGTAGCGTTTGACTATCACAAGAGCTTGCATCAGCCTAGACTGAATAAATGAGTTTGAACTTTGAATTTTAACGTGCCTTCCGAAGCACGGAGGAACTCGAGATAGAAGATTTTTGGTCACCCATCCAATGACCGACCACGGCTGCTTAACTTCAACGATCGCAGCCGAACGCGCTGACCACCTGCGCCATCGAGCTCCTCAATGCAAGCTTATTCTTCGTTTATTAATAATTGTGTTTATAAAAGTGTTCAATACATCATTTCAAATTTTAAGAGATATAAAAGTAATAATGGTGGCGATGTACCTTTACTTAGTTAATATTATTCTAGCTTATAAAAAGTAGAAAATAAAAAGAAAAGTGTTTCGACTGGGAATCGAACCCGGACTGGTCGCGTGGTTAGCGAGGTTTGTACCTTTGAACTCATGCTTGTCAATAAGATCAAATTTTTTAATAACAATTATAAATGTAACGCGATACGCTAAAGACGAAGGAAAGGATATTGTGGTGATATTAGAAAGGTTTCACTTTAAAAATAATTTAATTTCGACAGCTGACAGCTTCCATCGTGAAAGCCATCATGACACATGCTCCTGCAGGCTGGAATATTGCATTGGAGCTGGATGTCCACTACCCATTGCCCAATGCGAACTTCACAATGTTACATTTGAGAAGAAAACTGCACCACCGCCAGAAGAAAGATATGTGGATGAAAATTGAAAACGCACTCAATCTGTAAGTACATTCGAAGTCATTAGTTTTTTTTTATAAGTGACCCATTCTTGTTAGGAGCAATTTACAAACAAAGAAATGTGTAATCTATAATAATTTTCTTCCATGCAATGTCCATGTAAATTCAGAAAAACATATTATATTGATTTATGAAAACTGAGGGATCACTTGCTCAGTGGATTATGGTATAATAGTTATTCTTATTTTTGATATTAGTGCGGTAAATTGGTTATTGCAAACGAGTAGACGAATAGACCATTTTACCAAAAAATTTTTTTCATTATTTTTTAGTAGTTTTCAGTATAAAATATCTGACTAATATCTATACTAACACATAAAACTATTTTAGTATTTACCATGCTAACGAATAATGGTAGTCCTTGTTTATTTACTTAGATATATCTAATGAAGCCAAATGCTCATGTTTAAGCTACCATTGGTCGGGGACAGATAAAATGTTTTCCTTTGTGCCACAATGACACAAGTTTCTGTGTATTAGAGCATCCAAATCACTGTTTTTAAAACTCCACTAATAGTAACTTCACTAAGTAAACAATAACTTCGCTATATTTTTTTTGTTATTAAATAATAAAAAAACAAATAAAGAACAAAAACCCGAAAACTCCTTAAAGTCTAAAATTTTAAATCCCAATATCGTCTTTTATAACTTAACTAGTGGCCCGCCCTCGCTTCGCTTCACTTCGGTGTATAGCTGTAGTGTAGACTATAGTTTTTATTCTCAGGCTTGTATTATACACAATGACATTCTTCTAATACCTAATTACAATAGGCACATGCCGCCAAGCCCCCCGCCCGGTAGCGTCGGAACCGCTATGTCCCTGCATTTAAAATCTGTAATAGCTTCAAAAATATTCATTTAAATTACACGCGTTACAGGGCCAAATTGGTCTATATTAAGTGCACAATGTATTTAAGGTATTTAATTGGATAAGGATGAATGTTATATTGCTGAAAATCGCTTCGTAAACAATCTATTATTTCTCGTAAAAAGTATAGGATTAAAAATGGTTATTGTGGGTTATCCCTAAGAGATAGACATATACCATCCCAGACTTTTTTGTAGACCTTTTCAAGATGTACAATACTGTAGTACATTATTTTGATCTATCTCGTAGGGCTCAGGCAGCGTTTGCATTATCAGTGTTTCTCTACTATATTTATGCATGTATTATGCATATAAAACTTCCTCTTGAATCACTCTATCTATTAAAAAAACCGCATCAACCGTTTTAAAAATCTAAGCATACATAAGGAAATAGGGATATAGGGACAGACAGCGGGAAGCGACATTGCTTTATATTATGTAGTGAAGGTTCCTTTTTCCCACGAACAATAAACACAGATCACTCATGTATTCTTGAGAACAATAGATAGAAGAGATACCTTATGAAACAATAATAATATAATCTTTATTAGATAATGCCTTTGTTTTATTTTCCAGTCACAATCTGGACGGGCGTGCGTGCGTTCTCAAAAGTGTATGCGAAGCCAGGGCCTACCTCGCGCCCCCTGGGAAATCATTGGTCCATGACATATTAAGAGCCATACTAACGTGAGTATCTTGTTTTTCTCAAAGTCATGTGTGTTGGTACTGCTGGTAACGAGAAATTACTCATTCTGCTTTATAAAGGGAATAAAATATAATATGATAAACTGTGTTGGCAAGGAAATCTCCAGCCAGTCTAATTTTATATTTTTGTAAAGATATTGAACTATATCAGCAACTCCATGATCTGGTGCAAGAACAGTGCTGAAATATAGGAGACTCATAAAAAACAAGGTACATGGCAGGTTTCCCGCTTGTAACTGTAATTTTAAACTATATTTGTATTGTTATTTTTATGTATGAAACTGCTAGATTTATATAACTACAGAATTTAATTTTTATTTTTTAAAAATGTAACTGTTAGATGTTTAAATTTAAAGAAAATTTTGCTAGAAAGAATTCCACTCTGATCAGGCAGCAGACGGGAATCGAACCCGCACCCTCCGCTAACCGGGCGAATGCACTTACCAAGTATGTAACTGCCCTAATGGCTTAGTCGATTTTTTTCTAGTATTGATTAACATTTGAAAAAAGATATAGCTACTGCTGTACCGGCAATCTTCACGTCTGGACTTCACCGTCACTTAACATCACGAGGGGTGGAGTCAGTTGTCTGAGTAACTACAATTGCTATTTCAAGTCTTAGCCTTTAATAGTCATCTGCAAACGCATTTGTAAAAAACAATTTAAAATACCAAGATATTCATAGTGTGATCCATGATTTAGACTTTTTAGACAGTTACACTAATACACCTCCACTACTCGCAAAGTTGACCGAGGTTGTGCCACAGACTACTAAGATACTTAGATTAAAACAAAAAAGGATGATACGGCACTTGCGGCTCCAAAGTACCGCTTAAATTGTGGTGCATGAACACAATTCGCATTAGTCACAATTTGATATCTAAACACGCTGCATAAAACAATGCATTCGATGCTTTTCAAAAAAAAAAACACCTTATAACAAAATTCCAGGGCTACATTTTTCAATCGTAAAATTAAAAAAACATTTTTTTCCTCAAAACTCACGGTTTGTCATGAATTTTATTTACTGATTCGCCATTTGTTATCAAAAAACAATAATACAGCTCAACCGTTGGTAGAGCGAGGAAAGAAAACGCAGTCGATTGCCAAGCGAGCGACGCGAACTAGCCGTTTCGCTCGTGCTGCGTTGAAGCATACTAAGTACTAAGCGAAGTACTCTTAGCACGAACCATTATCGAATTCGAATAGTTTGCGAGTCCGAAATGTCACTGTCAAATTTTGTATGGAAACTTGAAGAGCAGCGCCATAGCGTACGTAACGAGAACTAAAAATCAGTACACATTTGACAATGATATTTTGTACTCGCAAACCATACGAATTAGATATAGATTCGTGCTAAGGGTACAGTTCTATCTCGCATGCTCGATTGAATGTTTTTTTTTCTAAATGGCTTCGCACGGCTTGTGCATTTAGCCAATGTCAAGTGTTATATGTTTACAAATTCTATGGCACTCGTGATCAAAATAATAAATAAACTTAAAGTAAGTGGCAGTCAAGTCAAACCACCTTTCCCTATGTTTCAGTAAATGTGTGGGGATTTACTGGAACCTCCCCGTGGACTTCTTGAGGCAACGTCGAAAGACACTTACCGCTATTTTGTTTCGCTTGCCAACACTTGTGCATGTTCCCGAACACTTAGTGGTTAATAATCCACCATTATTAGACAGTAATATCCCTTACTACAAAAATTTTAACAAGAAAAACAAAACTGCTAAAGTGACGCTTCCCGATCCCGCCAAAAAGTCCCGATTGAATGTTTATTTATAGAAATGTGCGTGTGTGAGAGTTGCTTATGTAGTTGGGTAGGAGCACATTTTATTTGACGCTAGTATGAGCCTACCGTATCTTCCTTTTATATTTTAATCTAAGTGTGTACATAAAAACAATTTGTTCTGCAGTTGGCAATCGGTCATATTATCTAAGTAGTCTGTGGCACAACCTCGGTTAACTACGCGAGTAGTGTAGTGGAGGAGGAATGTGCAGGATTTAGAAGCAAACTTAACATTCCGATCAAACGCGACACTTATCTTCCTTCCTATCACTCGGTAAGTTCCTAAGCAACTTTTGCACTTAGCATGGGAATCATTCGCACAACTGAGCAGTGTGCATTAATTGAATTCCAAAGATAACTGCCTCAGTTCCAATGTAGTATATCAATCTTTGCATATATTCGTCGTCTTGCTAATTGGCGTATAATCCTTGTACGTGATGTCTGTACGTGAATGGATTAATTCATAATATCACTCTGGCGTGTATCGGTATGTAACTATATTAATTCTGCGTGATATTGATGTACACGCGAGTTTGATTATGGAACTCAAATAAACTTACTGTAAGCTCTCTCTCTCTGCGCACCAAATAGAATTAAGTCTTCATAAAATTTATAAGACGCAATTTTAAGCATTTAACATTTTTAACGATATTTGTAAATCTAATGAATTTGTTTTCTCGTAAAATTTTCTTAAGATATTAGAAGATTTAATTTGATAGCCCGTTCGGGGAAATAACCTCCACCTTAGAGAAGACCACAGTAAATAAATAACACTACCTTTGGTGGTTTCGTGTTTCCCTCAGTGAGTAAGGTTCCAGGGCTCCACGAGGTAGGCAATTGGGTCAGGGTAGACGACGGTGGCTGGGGATGCCCATGATGCTCCGGGGCATCCCCAACACTCCCCACTTCCGGGGGCAGAGGAGTGTGGCCGTTCGACTCGGACGCTCACTGGTGAGGTCGCGGAAGATTCCGTAAGGGTTCCCGTAGCCTCATCTAGTGCCGTTGTCTCAACCACGCTGGTTGGGACCGTGGACCGAGTGAGGTGAGGGGCATCATCAGGTTTTAGTGGGTAGTCCCAGGACTGGCTAAGCGGACGGGCAGGACGGGTCGGGAGGCTTCCCACATAACCCCGTTGTTACTCCCAGGTGGCGGCAAAAAAAAAGGGTAGACGACGGTGCGAGTAATATTTTTGGTATCGCAAGCGTCTAAAGGCTATGGTGGCCGCTTACCATAAGATGGGCCACAGTCTTGTCATCACTCACCCTTTTAACATAAAAATAAACATGATCAAAACTGATCTTATATTGGACGAATCAATATGTATTTAATACATCGTAAACTTTTTCTTAGGGTATTTTGTGAGGAAAGTTAAACATTATCCGTTACAATCACCACTAGAGTCTGTGCGGAAAGAGAATGGGGTTTAGATTGGAGGGCGCCTTAGTGCATTTCTACCGTATTTGTAAGGTTTTACCCCTTCTAGACATGATTAAATACAGAAAACCGCAAGAAATCACAACAACCAACAAATCCGTGTCAATATAAAACTTTAACGTTTTAAAAGTTTGATTGCCACATAAAAATCTTAATGTTAGTTCCATTTTTCGCCACGCCCATTCTCTTTCCGCACAGACTCTATAAACATTTTTGCTTGGTGACTTTTTTTGTCTATGGAAAAGGACCATATATAACCGTACAACAAGCTGAAAAGTACCAGAAGGGTCTAGTAATATACTAATTCATTCATTAACACAGCACGAAGTAAAAGAAAATTTTATTAGAATAAATTACACTCGTTTGATTTCTAGTAAAATTTTCTTAAAAAAACACAAATCTGACAGTTAAATGCTTAAAATAAAAATACACGATGAACCTCTCCAGTTGATAAAATTTCGGCTAGATTTTGTTGCTCACTGTGAAAGTTTCTTATAGCCGCTACTATGTGAAACTCCTCGCTACTTAAAATGTTCCAATCTTCGATCAACAATACTATGTTGATCGAGGGTTCCACTATAGTATAAAAGCGGCTAACTGCGAGTCGGACTCGTACACGAAGGGTCCTTTATTTATTTATTTATTTATTTATTCAATTTAAACATGCAGGCTTACAGAATAATCCAACACGCCGGCAAGTCATACATACAAAATATTAACAATCATAGAAGGTATTCATTTAATTCAATAAAATTAAGAAAAAGAGATATTCAAATAATAATAATTATAACAACTAAAAAAAAAAACAGTAATGTCAAATATCAATGTCAAATAGTACTTAATAGAAACAAAGTCAAATCACCTATTGTAAAAGTTAATTAAATTTATAATAAAATAGTTAAAAATGTCAAATCAATAAAACAATTAATAATGTCATCACATTTAACATTATCTATAAAACATTAGACACTGTTTTATAATGGCATGCCAAAAACTTTTTTTCTTAATGTGTGGAAAATGCTTTACGCATTCTCCGCCCACCGGGAGAAGCAAAGCAGAGTTATCCGGGACTCCTCCCCACTCATTTCACCCAGCATGGTGACTCGATGAAACGAGTAGGGCCCTACCTAACGGTAAAAACCAGACAATACTCCTGCACCTGTCCGCTGACACATATCCCGAGGACCGCGGTCCCTGACATATGTGTCAGTAGGGCGGGCATTGCATGGTACGCCCCAATGGGATAGGCCACGCGTCCGCCGGTGACATGGAATACTGCCTGGTGACAGACAGACAAACAGCAAAGTCTTAGTAATATGGTCCCGTTTACCCTCTAGGTACGGAACCCAAAAATGGACAAACCCCAAGGAAATAGAATGAAATGCACATCATAAAAGTGCATCGAGGAACCCGCCCACAATGCATCACCGCAGCACCGCCCGCGTGGACCTCCCGAAGCGCTTGATTTATTATACAAAACTGGGGTTTCACATGATATACGACGCGAAAGTGCTTTCATATGTTCAAATGAGGCGAATTTCCGTCGCTACTGCAGATTGTGTAGTTTTTTTAGAGACCATTGGAACTACTACTATATAACATTTATGTATGCTGTCATAGTTGTTAAACTTTAAATTTATAATGGTAAATGTTTTGCTTTCTAATAAGTAATGGGACCACGAGAAACAGTTCTCCCTCATGGTCCAACTAATTGGACAAAATCCTGGGACTGCGAGAAATCAGGGATTTATTTGCTGAACAAAACCTGGAATAGGTCAGCAGCAAACATTTCGGCGCTGATATCAAAAATCATCATTATGATCAAATCAACCAACAACTGAATCAATACTGATTTCGTTCTTTGCTTTCACACTTCATACAGATTAAGGTTCCAAGAACTAATTAGTAAGATTCCCAAACTCCTTTTTTGTATAATAATAATCACAATCAAAATCATTTATTCAGGTTAGGCTGTTACAAGCACATATGAAAGTCTAGAAGCTACGCCATCGGTTCGTAAATCTACGGCGGGAGACATTGTACTGAGAACAACTGGCAAGAAACTCAGCAAGGGCTGTTTTTTTCTCCCTGTTTTATCATTTACAGAGTCGTCAAGTTGAAAAATGACTTCAGAGATGATTCATGAAGTCACCTTTCATTACATAATGTGAAATTATACATTAATTGTTCACCTGCATTTTGATTGTTGTGGCACACAGTATAGATCTGGAAACCTTGAGTATAAAATATTTCTTTATTTACAGGGTACCAGAAAACGACGAAGAATTTGCAGGAGAAATGCACGACGTTTATAACGAGTTGTTGTCTCCAGATTATTGTGAAGAATTGAGATATTGTCCATTTTCGTTGTTACAATTTCTAACGCCACATGGAACTTAATGATATACTTAGTTTACGATTTAATACTCTATCCCAGTTAAAATATATAGTGCAATGTTGTAAACAATATATATTTCTTTCTTAAATTTTCACCGAACCACTTATTAAATAAAACAAGTTTCAACGGTATAGATGCATTGATTTATTTATTTATGACGTTTCGCATACTTTTTAGGCTGCGTCTCGTCAAAATTATTAGTTAATTCTGCTGCGTCGTCAGAATTATTAATTTAGTTAATTTTGACGTCGCAGCCTGAAAAGTATGGGGATATAATTAAAAAAAGATTTTCATTAAATAAATCTTGTTATAAAACACGTTTTTTTACATAAAATAGAAAACATGAAAATTATTATTGGTATCAGATCTACTACAAACTTATAGAGGTTTTTCCATCCCGTACTTTTATATTTAATAGAAATATAATTTCGATTCAAACTATTCAAGATTGTCAAATATTCTGTAAGCCTGGAATATTAAGTCTATACAGTTCCTTCAGCCAGTTTCAAGGACGGAAGCACTTAAGCTTCATAATATCACGTAAAATTTTATGTTCGCTATGACAAACTGCAATGAACTATATAATACAGTACAGATTTCTATATGTGGTAGCTTGTCAATAGCTTTTAGTAATATTTTTTGCTGTTATCTTTATTTCATAAGCTGTTAGCTGCCCTAAGATAATAAATAAATAAATAATTATACATTTTACTTTTAGCGAACGACCGTCCACAAAAAGTCATAATATCAGATAAATAAGACTAACTGTACAATACTAGAATCGTCAATCAAAATCGTCTTGAAAAAGTTTATGTCTTATTGTCTTTACTTTATTTCCCTAAGTAAATTGAATCATATATGGCTATTCTGTTCTGTTGCCTATCTAAAAATAATTGCATCATTTTAGCATAAGCGTCCCATAAACGTGGGTTTTATACAAAACTTTCCTTTCTTCTTATAAACGTATATTTGCTAGAGAAATTAGGCCATATTAACAGTCTTCAGTTTGTTACTGTGACAGACGCTAGCATTGACATGAAAATTGTTAGTTCCGTTACACTGTGTGACATACATTTTGCATAGGCTAAAATTATTTCTAAAACAGTATTACAATCGTACAGTCAGAATGAACTGTGACTTGATGAAGTGGATTTTATTAATATTTGTAATCAAAGGAGTTTGGAATTTTGATAATGAAATGGAAGCTTATAACGGCAAACCCAGAATATTGTCAAGGAAGAGGCGGTATGTGACTTTTCCTGAAGGATCCAGTTTCTCGGTAAGTTCAACATATTTTATTAAGCCAGAATTAGGTCATGGTCTGTTTTTCTTATTTCATCCATAGAGCAGGTTTCTACTTCAGCAGTGGGGACTTGAGACTTAGATTGATAAAGATATTGATGATATTTCTTTTCCAACTGGAATATAAGAGAAACACCTGGTATGGTAAATAAATATTCCACCATTTTTTATATCTATTCCAACGATCAATTATTAATTTCCTCGCAAACTATTGATTTAAAAGAACATCCAGGGGGCTTTTAATGCGCTTTTATATTGAACTTCTTCATAGGTCTTGGAGATCGTGAACATTTTCTTGGATGAACATGAACTGGCCACGAAACCAAAAAGAGATTGGAGATCATTAAAAATTTGATTTATTAAGAAGTTGCTGAACTGCTTGCTATGTTTATAGATATCATCTTTTAAAATTACAGTGTGCCGGCTGTCTCACAACTGGTGTGATAGGCCAGCCATCACCAACCACAGCCCCAGGAACGTTCACTTTAGGGATGAATTGGGGTATAGCTTATGAGCTCCCGAACGCCACTGAGACCCTAACGCTCTACCATAGGAAATACAAATTAAAAGGAATTGCGCAGAGGAGGAACCGCCGAGATCTTTATCAGAAACTGGAACTTATATTGGAGAAGTATTATATTTTTATACATTTATCAATACAATTAACGTATTTATATCATAGCATAGAATTTCTAACTACTTTGAAGTTTATAAACAATTGAAATGAATGTATGCAAATGGATGATCTAAAACTTTGTATTTATCAACCACACAATCCATCCACATCAAAAATATAGAAAGAGAACATAATATCTCTTTCTATATTTTTGAAATATCGAATCAGTCCAAAGAAATTCGAAGTAAAAACTACAGTGCCCCATGTCACTGTCGACGCGCCTCGGTTGCAGCACACCAAATTTACTGCTTTATTTGAAGTGCCTTTCTAGAGAAGTATCCTACACCTTGCAGAAGACTCCAGACAAAATAATAATATTCTTTATTCTAGGTATTTATTTTATTATCACGTAAGCCGAGATAGTTTACCACCATAAAGGAAATACAGGATAACTTATCCTGTGTTTGTAATTTACCTGCTCTTTCTGTCTATGTTTTTGTAAATGTTTCATAAACAGTGATTAAGATCTGTTTTATTTCTTACAGCATAGGTTACAAGGGTCGTGATTGTATTTTGAAAACGTTGTGTGAGACCAAACATCGTATCATACCCAAAGGAGCCAACATGATCGAAGAGATGTTCAGGACTTTATTTACGTACGTACCTTACTTATTAATATATTCCATTACATGAAATAGAATAACACTGTTTATTTTTACAAAATTAATTGCAAGAATTTAAATAAAAAAAAAATGTTCGTCCCTAGTGTGAGTTCCTCAGGGCTCAATCTTTGGTGCTTTGTTATATTCATTTTATGTCAATTTTAATACTTACTTAATTCTTATCTAATTAAAGAAAGACCATGATAATATACTATTTGCAGATGACACTTCACTTCTTTAAAATCAAACGAAAACCACCTGACCTATTTTACAGATTACGCTGACAAAGTCATCCGCTTGTACTCATAATTTCTTTTCCAGAATGCCGTTAACGAAGGTTTTGCCAGTGGAGCCCTTAGAGCATACAATATATGATTCCGCACATCGTCTCAGCGTTACCCTCGATGACTGTGACGTTTACGACTGTCCGATATCTCTGGTCGACTTGGCTAAAGGGTACTACAATGCGCCAGCTCCGCAAGTGGATATAGCGAAGCAACCCTGGGCCCTGTTCAGCAGTAGCTTTGAATAAGATCTTTTTTTTTTAATAAAACTTTATTAAAGTATATCATTTCAGTTTTTTCTTAAGAATTATCCAATACCCTTGTCCAGGTTAACAATTTTCCAACAACAGATTTTAATTACCATACGCTCTAGAAGAGAGTAATAAGGTGTTACTTTCTTTGCGATAGGATTTGAAATATTTGTACAGAAAACTTACCAAATTTTTAGAACCGTTGTTATATAGATAAACACCTTTTAGTTATTAAAAATACAGTTTTACTGATTTATTAACCCGCCATTGGTGACATATACGTCTGTTAGACCGGGTAGTCAGAAAAAAACGAATATTTCTTTAGACCGTAAATCGAATCAATACATAACAAAGCTTTCTGGTTTTTGTTTGCACTACATGTATTATTATAATTGTAATAGTACTTGATTAAATAAATAGATAAAAAAAACTCACAATGCCGAAGGTCGTCTTTTGATTATTATCTAATGTTAATAAAAAGATAATTTATAACAAATAAGTATATTTTATGGACAAAGAAATACCTAATATTTAAACTTGTCCAATGAACACTAATATGGACAACAAATTATGGAAATACGCCTAATCAAAAACCCTGGTGCTTGAGACCAGGGTCACAAAGGATGTAAGTTAAATTCACGGCACCAATGGCGGGTTAAGTAAAACTTTTAAGAGACATATGTATGTACAACTGATTACGTACCTACTAAATAGATTATGTTAAACTAGTTAAAAACAACAACCCTGATATAGATGAACACTTGGTACATCCATTGGAAACTGCATGCGAACGCGTCATAAATACGAACATGATTTGTCCGTGCCGGGAGTAATGGTGGTCACATTTTTGGGGGACTCTAACTCGTCCAATGGAATGGCGGCGATCCGTCACGGGAGAGGCACGGGACCACCGTCAATATGTAGGACGTTTGTCAGGTTTATGATATATACGGCCTGCTCTTATTGCATGAAAAATAAGAATAGATACAAAGCTTTCAAATGTCGAGTTGGCTTGATTTACCAAATCGTAAGAATCGAGAGAGATGTTTTTTGGGTGACGACCCCTTAGTTTTTTTTAAGAATTATTAAAGAAGAATGTCCCTCTAAAATTGTAAGCCACCACAGGCTACTTGCTAAACCACTGCTCGAACAAAATATCTCTTACAGAAAAGTGTTTTCAATTTCTATGTAAAGTGCTTTAAGGATATTTAGGATATAAGGAAGTTCGCTCCCTTCTACTAGTGGAATGAAATAGAATGGAAAATCTATATCGATCCTAATAGGTACCTAATATCACTGACAGAGTAATTTATGATCGATGCTTTTTCAAACGAGTTAAACATTACATCTCCACTCCTGATGTTAAATTTAAGTGGAGTCAAGTTGCGATGATACCTAATGCAGCTGACCCTGTGGTCAGACATATAATCCGCTCTAGTGAATCCCACCTTTTCAACTTGAATAAACCTACATCATTAGAAATACAACACCACCAATTTAGTATTACTTAACTATTATTTAATTGCCTGCAATTAACGCAGAGGTTCCATAGAAAGAAAATTCGTGATGCCGTAATTAATTTTAGAATCGTTTTAAAAACTCTCTTTTTTGTATTGGCTTCTTGCGACAATTTCACTTTTATCCTAATGTCTATGATGAAGACAGCGGTACAGCGAAGACAGTATTTATAATGAAAAGTAAAATTATCGGATGATGTGCAAATTGATTTTAGATTTGAAATACAATTTTAAATCATTGGATTTTACGTAAATTGACCATGTATTTTGAATGTATTGATAATAAGAGACAGGCACAAACCGTTTGTTGACAAGAGCTCGGTATTCATCGACGTGTCGCAGCATTAGCCGTTCGAGGCTCTAACCCAATTTGCTGATGATGGAGTGAGGCACTTTGCCTCGTTATTTTTTACTGAATCAAAGTCCTATCCAATAAATCGTTACGAAAAGCTTTCACGGCGTTTCTGCTCCAATTAATGTCTGATCCGAAACTCGATGGTATGGCGCATTATTCTTTTATGCTTAACGATGTTCAGAATTCACGCGTCAATTCTTATGTCTTACGTTTAGGTAATGAAGGCACGAACGAGTCGTCGAAATTTCATATTCAGAATTTGATGCGACGACGTTAAAAAAAAATACATGAAGTTCATATTATGAAATCAATATATCGAGAATTTCAGACTAACGAGGATAAACTTGTAAAGTTAATTTGTAACGAGGACATATTCAATCAAGATGTTACTAAGTCGTCAAAGAAATAAAAGAGCACAATAAATAGTATTCTAAATATATAAAGATACTAACCTATCTTTATCGTATCTGGGATAGCTCCCAATGCCATATTTTTATAAATAAAATGTTTATTCCTCAGAATCGCATCTGCACTTTACCGTCACTTAACATCATGTTTGGTGGAGTCATTGGTCGAACCTATCTAGAAAAAACTAAAGAAATGTCAAATAATTTCTACGCGTGAAGAGCCCCGTTTAATAGTAACAGCCACTCATACAAAACCTATCACCATCTCTAAGATACGTCTTGTGAGAGAAATAAGGGCAAACTAACAATCTTTATTCGTAACCGTGATAATAACATTGACATGAAAATTTATTGTTCCGTTACACAACGTGACATACATTTTGCAACAGCTTTCATTACTTCTGTAATAGTCTTTTAACCGTACGGTACGGTCGAAATGTACTATGACTTGAAACTATGGATTTTATTACTATTTGTAATCAATGGAGTATGGAACTTCAATGACGAATTTATGGTTCATAAAAACAGATCAAGAATACTGTCGAGAAAGAAGCGGTATGTGACTTTTCCTGCAGGATCTAGTTTTTCGGTAAGTACAAAACATTTATTCACACTTTAGAGAAAAACTTCAGTATCATTACAACTCAGAGTAACTTCAGATCTCGGATTGACCAATAATATATATTATATAGCTATTGACACCCGCTGCATTAGTAATTGTTAGTACCTAATATTATATATGATTCTTGTTTCCAAACCTAATTGGATATGTGTCATAAGACTGAAAAAGAGTTGACGTGCATTGTAGCTCAAACTTGATTGTTGACTCGTGGTCCCTCCAATTTTGTTCCACTATTAATCGTGCTGCCACATATTTTCAAAACTAAGGTTTCGTAGTCTAAATTTTTCATAGTAGATTGTGTAATAAGGGAGCAATGAACTATTTTAAAAGAGAGTGTTTTATGTATCCTGTGCGCAGCTAGGGATTCGAAGTACATGCCCTAGGTTTAAAATAGAGTTGCTGCCAAAGTGGACACTCTACTTTTTAGCACTCTCTATGAGAAAACACGACTAACATTTTTAGCGTCGGAGACAATATTCTCGGGAGTTGATTAATATTTTCATTCTCGCTACTTGAGGAAGACATACTAATTTTTAATAAAACTAGGTAAATAAAATCCGAGGAGGAGCTCGATAGCGCGAGTGGTTAGCGCGTTCAGCTGCGATCGTTGGAATTAAGCAACTTTCGCAGTGGTCCGTCATTGGATGGGTGACCAAAAATTTTCTATCTCGAGTTCCTCCGTACTTCGGAAGGCACGTTAAGCCGTTGGTCCCGGCTGCATCTGCAGTCGTTAGCACCCGCCAATCCGCACTAGGCCCGCGTGGTGAATCATGGCCCAATCTCCCTATTCTGTTCATAGGTAAGGCCTGTGCCCCAGCAGTGGGGACATTATTAGGCTGATGATGATGATGAAAAAAAAACCAGAGTTACCGATTATGAATGAACGAAGGCGTAATTTTATTATACGTCTTTTTTATTTGTACATGAACTTTTGTTTATATAACAAGCGTGCGATTAGTTTCTATACAGCTTGTGACTTGTTCATTAGATGTTCGTGATTGATCTCTTTGGTGATTCGAAATTAAACTGAATGTATTCAGATTTCTAATTCAAATCACTTTTAGTCCCTATTGATTAAAACTCTATTTAGGTCCTAATAAACAGAGAACAAACTACATAGCTCTTTTCGAATAGATGTGATAAAAAAGGATTTCGGACTTTTTGGCGGGATCGGGAAGCGGCACCTTATCAGTTTTGTTTTCTTGTTAAAAATTGTGTTTTGGCGGATGTTAAGTGTCTAATAATGGTGGATTATTGACCACTAAGTGTTCGGTGTTCGGGAACATGTACAAGTATTGGCAAGTGAAACAAAGTAGCGGAAAGTGTCTTTCGACGTTCCCTCAAGAAGTCCACAGGGAGGTTCCAGTAAATCCCCACACTTTTACTGAAACATAGGGAAAGGGGTATTGATTTGACTGTCACTCACTTTGACCACGAGTGCTATAGTATTTGTAAACATTTTAACACTTGACATTGACTAAATGCACAAACCATGCGAAGCTATAAAGAAAAAAAATGATTTCATTGAATAGGTAGAAATGTGCTATTATTTAATATTACGTTTTTATTGTCATTTGACATTGTGGGTTATACTTAAAATGCGAAGAGATGACGCTGCCTTGCAGCCTAAGGAAGGCTAGAAATAAAAAAAAGCGGCCATGTGCGAGTCTGACTTGCCCATGATGGGTTCCGTAGCAGCAAGTAACATAATATAAAAGTTCTTGTAGTTCGTTGTAACTTTGATCGATGTTTTAATAATAGTGTATTTTTTTAATTGATTTGTGATTTATGACGTATTAAAAAAAACTACTTACTAGATCTCGTTCAAACCAATTTTCGGTGGAAGTTTGCGTACCTCAAAAGGAAAAAATGGAACCCTTATAGGGTCACTTTGATGTCCGTCCGTCCGTCTGTTAAGACCGTTTTGCTCAGGAACGCGTGGAGGTATCAAACTGAAATTCATATCTAATACTCATATCTTCTGTCTCTTGGAGTTGTTAAAAAATCAAACTTCTAAGCCAAAGCAATCAAAAGATACAGCCGTTTATGCTGCAAATTTTCGAAACTCGCACGGGATTCAAAACCTACAGGATACTTCCCGTGAACTTAGAATCATGAAATTTGGTACGAAGTAACGTCTTATAGCACAGATAAAGGAAACATTGCGAAAACCGTGAATTTTAAGTTACATTATATAATAAAAAATATTTTTTATAATTCAGTTTTGTACGCAACCCTCGGTGCGCGAGTCCAACTCGCACTTGGCCGGGTTTTTTTGTTAGTTTTATCAGTCTCTTATTTTAGAAGATACAGGGGGAGAGGGACATTTTACCACTTTGGAAGTGTCTCTCGCGCAAACTATTCAGTTTAGAAAAAAAATGATATTAGAAACTTCAATATCATTTTTGAAGACCTGTCCATAGATACCCCACACATATGGGTTCGATGAAAATATTTTAGGTTTGATGATAAAAAGTATGGGGAACCCTGAAATTTCTTGTTGTTTTTCTATTTTTGTGTGAAAATCTTAATGCGGTTCACAGAATACATCTACTTACCAAGTTTCGACAGTGTAGTTCTTACAGTTTCAGAAAAAAGTGGCTGTGACAGACGGACAGACGTGACGAATCTGTGAGGGTTCCGTTTTTTATTTGCCTTTTTACCCAAGTACGGAACCCTAAAAACGACACGCCACTCGGCATGGCAAGGCCGCGGTAGCAATGCATTCGCTCGGATAGCGAAGGGTGCGGGTTCGAGTCCCGTCTGCTGCCTGGTCCGCGTGGAATATTTTCTAGTAATTTTTCTTTAGCTTTAAACATCTAGTAGCTAAATGCATAAGAATTATAATATGACGATCATATTTTGTGTTATAAATTACAGTGTGCCGGTTGTATGACAATCGGGCTGATGGGTCAGCCATCACCAACCACAGTCGCGGGAACGTTCACATTTGGCCTTAACTGGGCTATAGCGTATGAGCTCCCAAACGCCACTGAGACCCTAACGCTTTTCCATAGGAAACACAGATTAAAAGGAATAACGCAGAGGAGAAGCCGCCGAGATCTTTATCAGAAACTTGAGCTTATATTGGAGAAGTACTTTATTTTATTTTTAAAACCTACAATTTATTTATAAACCTTCCCTCTTTCCCAATACCAAATTATACCAATAATGCTGAATTTTGCTTTTATTATAAACTAGCTGTACCCCTCGGTTTATTAGGTATATTTTCCTGCAGTAAAACGAATGCCTATGTGTTGATCTAGGGTCTCAGCTAAGTACGTAGCAAATTTTATTAAAATCGCTCTTGCCGTTTGGACGTGAAGAAGTAACAACCTACACACTCTCACACTCACAAACTTTCGCCTTTTTAATATTAATGTGATTTTTGATGGGCTAAAGGATGATTTTGATCTAAACAGTAAAATAATTTTAGGCGACTACAAATAGTATCGAATTTTTAAATTAGGAGAAAATATACAGATGTTTGGCGTTGCAACAGATTTTCCGCTTAATGTGTGAATGTGGATTGTGTACGATTTTATATAAGAGTATTTTTTATTACTTTTCAGCATTGGTTACAGGGGTAGAGAGTGTATTTTGAAAACACTGTGTGAGACCAAACATCGTATCATGCCTGATGGAGACAACATGATCGAGGAGATGTTCAGAACTTTATTCACGTAAGTATAATCAAAGATACCATTAAAGAGTGATACATTGAAGTATAGACACATACTTTTACTGTACCACATTTTTTCATATTTTTTTTATATAGCCAGGTAGGCAAAGAACTCTGCCCCACCTGATGTTAAGTGGTGATAAGTACATATGCGAAGATAGCTGGTACAGCAGTTATAAACTGCCACACAAACCATCCTCACCTTGCCGGCTTACAAAAAATGCTTCTGGAAGGAAGGAAGGAACACGTGCGCGGGCAAAGAATTCCACTTACGAATAGTACGATAAAGAAATGAGTCACCAAATTTCTTTGTTCGTGTAGAAATAGTGGCCACAGTAAGTCGGTGGCAACTATGAAAATTTTAGTGTCGCCGCACACGTGTGGCCCGTCTGCGGCCACAGCCACAAACGCCGCCACGAGAAGCTAGAAGCGGCTACTAAAGTGGCTGAAGCGCGCGACAGCGGCCGACTAAGGTAAGGGAGAGAGGAGTGGGGAATCGCGAAGTGACGCGGCGGTTTGTATCGTCGCATTAAGTGGCCGTTGCGGGCCACAAGAAGCAAGCAACGACGATTTGTTGCGTGTGGCGGCCACCGGCGCACCGTGTGTGGTGAGTCCATATAAAATGTATGAAAACTACAAGAAATATGTCGGTGGCGGCGTTTTGTGATTGTGGTCGGTGGCCCGTGTGCGGCGACACTTAAAGTACCGATAGTAGTGTTGTAATGTTCGTAAAGTGAAGTGTTGTCCAATTGTTGGTATTGCTATCGTAAATACTATGAAATCATTAACTTTATCGAACTTAAAAATAAATGAACTTCATTTATAGCGGCCGTATAACTTCTTCATCATCATTGTCATCACAACCCTTTGAATGTCCCCACTGCTGGGGCACAGGTCTTCCCTATGGATGGAATAGCGAAATTGGGCCATGACCAACATCGCGGGCTCAGTGCGGGTTGGTGGGTGCTAACGACTGCAGATGCAACCGGGAGCAATGACTTAACGTACCTTCCGAAGCACGGAGGAGATCGAGATTATAAGTTTTTTATCACCCATCCTATGACCGACTATTGTAAAAGCTGCTTAAGTGTCACGATTGCCGGCCGAAAGCTCTATATCCTCGTGCTCCATATAGCTCCTCATACCCGCCTTGCTTTTTAATCAACACGAATGACCAAACTGAAAATGAAGAGAGGTAAGGCACTGCGGAATATTTGCCTTAATGGGAGCGCCCATCTGGGGATGTAAACTCCACCTTACAGAAGACAGTGAAATAATGAAATAAACACTATCTTTTCTTGTTTGATTGCGTTTCTGTATTTGGCGCAAGTGCTAATTCGACTCTAACTTCGACTCCCAGCGCAAAAGCCATGTTTTTTTTTGAGTATTTATGCAGTTGGTCGCAGATTACCTTTACAGCGTCACCGGGTTTGGGGACGGCGAGATCCTAAGGGGACCTCAAGCCGAGAATTGGCGAGTGCCTCTAGAGGTATTCCAGGCGGATAGCATCTCCCCACGGGGGGAGTCTCCCCTCCGTCTGGAGCCTCTGGACCACTCGAACCTAAGGGGTCGGCTCAACAAGAGGGCGTCTCTGAGACTCGGACCTCGGCTCTAGTAAGCCGTTGTCGTGGGGTGCGGAGAAAAACGCCCAAGTACGTACCTGTACCTGGGAAAGCATGTCGAAAAGCCATGGAGCGGCGCGCGGCGACTTTAAGTGCGGCCTAGAGTCTGTTGGAGTAATCGTTTAGCGAAATCCCTTGGCATCTAAAATAATCACTTTAACAATTGGTCCTATGCCACTTTTAAATTGAAATAAGACTGGCATTATTTAAAAACTTTTTATTAAATAGGGATGATGACAAAAAAATTTTCTTCGTCTATCAGGTACATTATCGAAAAGTATTCGGCACGTAATTTTTCTTTTTAACATTAGAGAGATAATACATGGCCTCCCACGGGTTTGTCAGACGAAGGGAAAGTAATATTAAATATAAAAAGTTGTCTTCTTTTAGTTAATTATCAAGTGACAAACCCGTGGAACGCCCTGTAAATACATTTAAAATGTCATATGAAATGAAGTCTTGGTGTAATTTTACGTATGCATGACGTCTAAACTTTGACTCTCTTTCTGTTATAAACGGTAATTGAAATAGTTTCCATTATTTTTTGATTCGCATCTGACGGACTATTGCACTGTTTGTATGAATGTGACTTGAGGGGATTAAAAATACAGGGTGGTCTAACTAGTGACGTCAACAATTTTTTCTTGAAACTTTAAATAAATCCTACTAAAAACTAAAGATCCAACTTTCAAGCCCTTTTTGAGTAACTTTAAGTAATTGCAGGAAGTTGAGTTATTTTTTTATTAAACAACATTCAAGACAATTATGTCACAAAAAAGACTGCAAAATAACTACTACGAAAAACGATAAGAATTTTTGAAACCTCGCTGGCAGAAATCATTCGAAATACACAAGAAAAAATTATAACTCGAAAACTAAGAAAAATCGCGGAACATACATTGGGTATTTTCGGATACCCCCAAGTGGGAGGAATCTAAAAAAAAATGTTGATGTCACTAGTTGGACCATCCTGTATATAGATACGCATTTAGGTCTATTTCTATACGTTGCTCACATTCACTTATATTTTTTGTTTCAGACTGCCGCTATCGAAGGTTTTATCCGTGGAGCCTTTAGAGCATACGATATACGATTCCGCGCATCGTCTCAGTGTTACCCTCGATGACTGTGACGCCTACGACTGTCCGATATCTCTGGTCGACTGGGCTAAAGGGTACTATGACGTGCCAGCTCCGGAAGTAGATATAACGGAACAACCCTGGGCTCTGTTCAACAACAACTTTGGCTAAGAAACAATACTAAAAAACCTACCTATTGTTTTATTTTGCAAAAGCGATTGAGATGTTGCAAAACGTTCGCTAAATATCTTACCTGCTCTTTCTGAGGGCCGGCTTTAGGCGGTCAAGATACAAGATTTAGTAAAAGCTATTTAGTACAAGATTCCAAGACTGCCAGACCTTACTTATTTTCTCATGGACAAATTGTAGTATTAGTATGTACAATGAACATATATTTGATTGCTTATTTGTGCTGTGCGCCAATTTTGAAGTATCTCGTCGCGAGGATTTGTTAACATTAGAGTCATTGTCGTGGATATAATACATTATTCTCCCCGTCATCGAAAAAAAAGGTGGCATAGGCACCTTAAAATGTTACTCACTATACTTGCAGTCTGAGGACTGATTCGCACATATGTTGTAAAGGATATTAGTAGTGAATATTGTAAAGAATTTGGAATTAATAATACCAGACACATTCTGTCAGTAGTTTTAATGCCAGATACTTTTAATGCAGAAAGCAAACAGAGCAGAATATAGTATCTTTGACATGTCAAAGTCATTTTATTCCTCAAAGATCATGATCTTTGAGGAATAAAATGAAAAGGAGTGACTGAAGATTCTCTTGCTTTGGCACAGTGCTCACCGGGAGAGGCGCTGCGAAAATACTAAGGCCCGTATTACAGACAGATTCTCAGTGATTGATCTAATCTTGAGCATAGTTAGAAAGGGATGTCGCTATATATAGCACATAGCGACATCCCTTTCTAATTGTACTCAAGTAAAGATCAACACTTAGTTGCCATTCTGTAATAGGGCCTAAGTGCGGCGACTCGGAGCAGAGTAGTCGCGCGCCGCTCTCGCAGCTGTTTCACAGCGCTGTGCGCCGTTTGTATATTGTTTCATGTTCACCATGAAATTTTTAAACTACGAGTATAATATTATATTAAAGGTGGGTTTAACTGTAATTGTTAACTTGTCAGTATCTTTGCCGCGCCTTTCTCAGTGTGCGCTGCACTTTTCATTTTTCTTTTCTTTTAACCTCTGTGATAGTGTCGTTATTATTAACTAAACCGGTTTTCAAGGTGTCGTCTTGTCTGACTTTTGTATTTCTGCCTGAGCAATGGCTGAATTTACATATTTCTACAAAAACCGTATCATTGTTATTTATACACTATCTGCTACTCTAGCATGTATCACATATTACAAGACTTACGTGCTTACTTTGGATTAGGCTGATTATAATTTTTGACAAATAAATATGTAGCAAATAGCTGAGTTGCTGCCGATTCGGACTAGCTAGCTATGTAAAGCACCTACACGAAAGAATATATTGTGATTAAGAAAAGACTGTGTAAACTTTCCATGTGCTTTGTTAATAAAACGGGGTAGCAAGGTTGGTGATAAATATCGCAATCGTCATAACCTCACCTTGACGAACTTCAAAATCAGCATTCGGTTGTACGCAAATAAAGCTTCCCCGTAGGCGTGTTATTATCGGATGCATTAATGTGATATCTGTTTTTATTAGATTTTTAATAAGAACGGCTATAAGTCTCGGCACGAAACTCTAGCGCTGACCGTTATTGCGCAGAAGTAAAAATTCAGATGTCTCGGGGATAAACGAGGTGCGCGGGTGGGCCTGCGTTGCGCCGATTGTGGCTCTCTAATCGTACCCATGCGCAGCACGCCCTCCGCGTTTTGTTCAGCGCTGGAGCACGGTAATATTGTCTATACAGTATTCTATCTTTACACAAACGGTCGGAAAGCGTGTCATATCTACGCCACTCGAGTTCGCGCGGCTACCCGGTGGGCATCCAGTCGCGAATACGCCGCAGAGACGACCGAACGGTGTAAATTGTTTTTTAAGCAGTTAGCCGTGCTTAAACTTTTGTATTGTGAATATTTGATTGAATTGAGTAGATACCTACATAATTTAATATGACAAAGAGCAATAGTGGATATTGTGCTGTTTTTAGTTGCTTGAACTCTTTAATAATTAAACTTTTTATACGAATGCGTATTTATTATACTATTAAATTTAATATTAAAGCTTTTCGTACGTCTCAGTCGAGGCGTTAATATTTTTTCGTCTCAAATCTAAATTTTTTTTTATTAAATATTACACTTAAAATAACATATATTTTATGTAACACTTCCTAATCCATTCACAACATATTTTTTTTAACATATGAAATAAAATATTTACAATCACAAAACTAGAAAGAAACTCAATTATGTAGATGAAATTAAAATACTGTAGGCGGGCAGCCCTATCGCGTGGATACGACCCGCTCGGCCGTAGGCAGTTATTTCAAGGACAGGGCCGAGTCACAATACTGTAAAGATAATATTACCGTGGCTGGAGTTACCTGCCGCGACTTGTACGAAGTTTCACGCTGCTGCGATAAAAACGACATACAGCGAGGTAAGGCGCATTATCTCAATAACGTATGCGATATTATCGACCGGTAACAACGCGCTTATGCAATGGGGTTAAGGCCTAAATGTGCAGAATCTTTAGTGACAGGTTTACCTTTAGTTATCGCGCGAGGAAGTTGTCTTTTTTTTGTAAAAACTCTACAGACTATACTTTAAATAGGTAAACGAAAGATGGATAAAATCGGTAAAGTCTTTCTCAAGTTATAAGGTGACCAAGGGGAATAAGGATTCATTTTTATGTCATAAATATAAATAATATCGTAAATAAAACGAGCCTTTTTTATAATTAACGCATAACATTTAATATTTATAGTTCATATTTATAATACATTTCAATATTAGCAGTAAGAATCATGAGTGTATTACGAGTAGTGCTTTATTTTCATTTAAATTAATTTTAACATTACAAAATGGTACTTAATGAATACCATACACGCTAAATTATCATATAATCTCGCATTCCTTACATATATTTAATCATCCATTGTTTTTTTTATCTAATTATTTTATAATAATTGCTTATGACTACGTATTTTTCATATTATCATACAATGTCATACAGTTCCGTACGTTATTGAGCTATTACGACTTACAATGTACTATACGAACATTATTTATTTATATATAAATATATTTATAAATACATATATATATAGTAGCATAGTGCGTAAATCTTAAAATATCAGTGGCAATGACCTTAATTTGTGATACAACGTCCTCGTTCATTTATCGATCTAATCTAATATTTCTATTAAACACTATTTGAAATATTTTTTCATAAAAGTCTATTATTGTTATTATGTTAATTTTAACATACATACATCGTGACATATATCGATATCGTTGGTTGGCAGAGTATCAAAGGTGCAACACTATGAGAAAGATATAAATATATATATCACCGTCCCGTAATGACGTCCCCATTTGGCATCAGCTGGGCTTAAGCTGTTGCTCGAAACCAATAATGATACGATACCAACCAATCGATAGTTTCCGAAACCATTGCGATGGTTTCCGAAACCATTTTGTTTTTGATAGACTTTTGCTATCTGAGCTTAAAAGTCACCAGCCGGTTCATCCCATTTTGTCTCCCATACCCGGCCCGGCATGTCAGTATCAAGACATCACTTACACATTAAATGGCTTAAACATTAAAATAAATTAGGAATTCACTCGATTGTATCTATAATATTAACTATATTTGTAACATTACTGTGGTGTTCGTTTGCTTGACGCCATTTTCACTTGTCTAATTGGTGTTGGAGGCCTTGAAGATTTTTTTCTTTAAGATTTTATTGAATTAGTTAGGAAGTAAGATTCAACTATGATCAAACTATTCCAATAAGAATCCCTATACCATCCATAGGGAAGGCCTGTGCCCTAGCATAATAAAGGCTAATGACGCTGAAAATATTCGATCTAACTATTGATTGATAATAATAATTGCGTATATTGTGCGTTTCCATGATTGTACTATGGAGAAGTATAGTTATCAGTGGAGAAGTGTTTATTGAATATAGCCAGGGTTCAACTAAAATTTTAATTGATGAATACAAGAGAATATTATGGTCAAAATGTAAAGAATATCATTTCTGTACAAAAACAATTATAGAACATGTTTGAACGATGAATACACATGATTAAGTAAAACGTCAAACATAGCTCCTTCTCAGTAAATTGATGATGAAATATCATTATTTTATTCTGTTTTCAAAAACTGTTTTAGAAGCTGACCAGAAATCTTTTTGTGTCAAAAATATCTTCAATACCTTTCAAACCAATCATCGTTACTCGTGGCTAGAAAGGTGAAAATCAACATCATAAGAAAACCAAAACTCCATATAACTAGACGAGGATTAATATTAACATTAACTTGAGAGACAGAAACTCCGAACACACTCCCTACATACCATCCTAATCTATAAATATGCATGACAACAATAGAAGACAATATTGTGTCGCCAACAATCATAATTTATACATAACTATACACAAACAGACCAGTTAAGATTGCTTTAATGTAAAAATATTACAAACGTATAATTAAGGGGTGCGTCTTCAAATTCCATGCATTTTCTAATTATCTCATCGATACACCAATTATATTTAAACACATTAAATTATTTTATTTTATACTAATACAACCTTTAAAAAAAATTAAGGTATCCAGAAACATATGTCGATATATCGATATAATTTATCGATATCAGTTTACACACTACCAATAGGAACCTTTAGTCAATAAACTGATACATTCAGTTTAATGTTGTCCTTCATAAAATTTTAAATTTTCAATTGATGAAAATCCTTTATATAAAATCTATTGTAAATATTTGGCCTATCCTAAAAAAGTTAACTAATAAGTAGATTGATATATATAATTATTTATAAAGCACACAAAACATATACGTTGCAGTGGAAAATTCAAATACGCATCCCTTATTTAATCATCCACATAACACATCCTAAATTCTTAATCAACACACCAAATTTGAAATACTTCATCAAACTTAGACATTAACATTAACAAAATACGGCACACGCAAAGTTACAAAAAAGATTTTTGACAAAGCTGTATCAAACAAACATGTTTTTTTATATAACTGGT